TATTACCTGTACATGTATTTTGGACACAAATTTAACTTCAACGGGTTACATAAATGTAGATAGGTTTGCGATGCCGGTACATGTACATGAACCATGGGAAGGAGATGTACATGTACATAACAGTCTAAAGACACTACATGTACTTAAAAAAGATCAGAAGCTTTTTCAGTTCAAAGGAAATGCCTTATAAAATCATTTAGCACTCTGACATGTACATGTAGGTTCCACTGATGACAATCATAATGTTTAGCAACAGATTCATTAGAGAAAATTCACAGTGAAACATAATCAATTTTCTTGCAGCCTATGGATAGAGTATTTCTATTTGAGGCTGTATTCTTTTATCAAGTCTTTAGCTAACACAATCAATTAATTGATTTTATCACAATTCACATTTTTAAGTACCAATACTTGTATGTTATGGTATGTGTACATCAATAAAGTTAGAACTACATGTAGCAACATCTCTTAATCATGCATAATATCAAGTACAGGCTAATTCTTTAAAAGAACAATGAATAATAAATACTTTACAAGTATACATCTAACTTATCATATTCTTATCCCTGATTTTCAATAGCATTATTTTAGATACATGTACATTTGTATATGTACATGTATATATTTTTTTTAATTTCATGGACTGAGCAGGTCTTAACTTTGGTTTCTTCACCTGCCCAGTCTACCTGCCACAAACTTAGAATATGGAACATTTCCTACCGCAAACCAGTACTAAGTACTGAAAGTACTGAAAGAACTTAAAGGAGCTAAGTCGCTAATATTTGGGACCTAGAAATTGACCAAAATGGGTCGTAACGCATATAATAATGTAATCTGATTGTATATAAACTGATTAACATTCAATTGTTTCCCTTTTAACTTTAATTTCAAATCAGTTATGTCCAGTGAAATACGGCATGAGTCTCAACCGACTGGCAATTTTTAGCATCTGGTTATTCCAGTCTATTGTGCATGCTCTCCAGATGAGATATGGCGTCACCGTTTGACATGAGTTGTGCAATATGTCTAGCCTCGTTTTTCCTGGTCACTTGTTACAAATGACGCTGAAACGCACTATGGTACACGATTCGTGTACCAATGGTAAAATGTTTAATTTGTCTTAAATATTGGATATTAGAAGCCTACCTTTTCCCGGTAAGATCACAACATCAATGTTGATTTGAATTGACATAATTTTGGTCATGTTTGTCATTGGTTTATCCAAATTCCAAAAGAAAGGGTTTAAATAAAATACTTGAATATTCGTTGGAGCATACACATGTTTATAATTAAGTACAAGTTTTTCTAATGTATTCAGTAACAATCGGGAAGACTAATACTTATTACTATAGAGTCAACTTGTTTAACATGTACCGGTAACTTAAAGGAGCTAAGTCGCTAATATTTGGGACCTAGAAATTGACACAAATGCGTCACAACGCATATAATGTAATATGAATGTATATAAACTGATATACATTCAATCGTTTCTGTTTTTACTTGTACTGTAATTTCTAATCAGTTAAGTTCAGCGCAATACGCCAGAAATCTCAATCGAATGGCTATTTCCAGAGTCTGGTTATACCAGTCTACACCGAAATTATTTATTGCGCATGCTCTCCAGATAAGAATATAGCGTCACCGTTTGACATGACTTATGGAATATGTCTAGCCTCGTTCTTCGACCCCCTTGTTACAAATGACGCTGAAACGCATTATGGTACACGATTCGTGTACCAATGGTAAAATGTTTATTTTGTCTTAAATATTGGATATCAGAAGCCCACCTTTTTCCGCTAAGATCACAACACCAATGTTGATTTAAATAGACAAATAATTTGTGTCTTCAATGTCGAAGAATTTGGATGATATTGAGTTAGAGACTTAGCTACTTTAAAGTAACAGATGCATTATGTAAGATTCAGATAAAGAGCTGGCCGTTCTTTCATAATAGTTCCAAAATAGATAATTCAAAATTAATATACATGTATTGAAATTTTCCTACAAATTACTTAATTCTGAACGATGTTATCACTGTTAATTGTTAATCAAGACTCAGCCTTGCTTCTTCATTTTTAAATTAAATCATTAAATGGCAATCATATTTTAACCTATTTAAATCTGTGCCATCTGATGGTCTAGAGAGTGGATTATACATGTAAGCTTGCCATGTTAGGGTGACCCACCATAAATAAATATCTCCATATATCTCGACAATTACGCCACAATATTTATATATATGCCAAGCCTCAAATCAGTTTCACACAATTATAGTCACTAAATAAACGATCATGTTGTACTTAATAAGCTATGACCATTAATCATGTTTAAAATACAGATGTGACGTCATCCTTTGATGTTGGAGTACCATTATTTCAAATAATCGTACGGGCAATGTGCCAAGCGTAACTTGGTAAAATATTGAACTCGAGTGACGTATTTCATTGCAAAGCACGTGCAAGTGTCTGTATTTTAAGTTGTTTACGGCCCTCATGTTGTTACAATATATTACTTAATGTCTCGCTCTCGACCATTAAACAATACATAAATAATAGACTGAAAACTGGTTCCAAGAGTCGTCCATAACATCCAGACACTTTTGAGTAAAAGATAGGTTACGTGCCCTTGTTTTGAAATTAGTCTCGCTTAACCAGTCTATCGACCTTTCTACGTCTGATTGACAGGTCGGGATAATCAAGACTACTTTTTTACGAAACATAACAGAAAGCTAGAACAAGAAATTGAATTTAGAAAAAAGCATGTTAGATAGCTCAACAATCGTTTTAAGAAGCTTGTAAAAGTAAAATGAAACTACTGCTAGTATCATGTTCCTGTCTAACCCGAGTGATTCAGAGATATTATTTGTACTAAACCAAAAGATGCCGCTCTTAACGGTACAGTTAATGATAAAGCGATTTAAAAAATGAAACGAACGTAATTTCTAAATCTGCTGTAATAACCAAGAAGCTTAATTTTACTGCTATTCAAAATCGTCAACAATAATTTTTTTACGGCTGTAATAGTTGATAGATTTGTAGAGAATTGCACGTACCATGGCTATTTATAGTATAATACTGTCAGAAAGTTGGTCTCGGCACAGCGAATGTGCACGCTTCAGTGGTAGTCTCGAACTATCAGCGGTGGACTGTATTTCTGTGAGTACATGGGTCACCCTAGCCATGTTAGGATCTGTGTTTTAATCAGATTGCTTTAAAATACAAATTGACAACCAGTATTGCTCATCAATCTATCATCCTACCTATATCAGCATAAATTTGGCAAATGAGACATTTCTAAACTAAATTATTAAATTGTACCATTTGTCATAAAAATTTGTCCATTTACATGTAACCAGCTTCCAGAAAAATATTTCAGAGGTGCCGGGCCCCAAATGTACCTCCCCTAATTCAAATCGTTTTCACAACTTTGCCACATAAGACATCGCATACATGTACGTGTAGTATGTACATGTACATGTAGGTAGGGTTTCAGTCAGTTAGCAATCTCATGTCAACAGTATGGGAGTTTTTAGTAATCGTGCCTTAAAGACTAGAGGCATTATCAAAATTTTGAATATCATATCCATAGTGAAATTCACTCTCCTACATGGAATTACCAAAGACCCAAGCACTGATAGTTGCATGTAATGTTTATAATAATATGGTTCTGCAATATTGGTACAGTCTACATAATTTAATTTGAACATGACAGAGTAACTAAATAGTGAATGTCAAATGATGACAAATTGAAAGGTTTTTTTTAACTTCCTGTCAAGACACATTCATTCCTACACAGCTAACAAACGACCCACATCCTTTAAAAGTCCCAATACACTTATTTCCCCCAGTTGATATAATTCCCATATTTTAAAAATGCTAAAATCATAACGCCAATTAACAAACGATACAAGTACATGTAGCCTATACTTCAGTAATGCAGACTACTAAAAAAAAAAAACCTAAAATCATAATGCCGATCTAACATCAAAACAATCAAGACGTAAAATTAATTTTTTCCACATACATGTTATTAACAAACAATACGAATAATTCTAATACAAAAACATTGGTGATTCGATCTTATGTCAACTAACAATACAGTCAACAAGTACTAGCTGCATGTATTTCTTCCATACAATTGAAGTGTGTATGAGTCAAGTATTGGTTGTGGACAACTTAACCATTAGTTGTGTAAGAGTCAAGTATTAGTTGTGGACATAACTATTATGTAAATGCATAATGTATGGTAGACCAACATGTACCAGGTGTGTTGCTCTTGTCCACATCCACAGTGTTGGTGATGTAGACTATCGGTGTATAAAACTAATTAGATTAGTAAGCTTATGGATGAAGATCAATGAACAGAAGGTACTACTTATACTACTATTATCCACTGTCAGGCAATAAAATGATTAAGCTTAATTTGGACATCCTATCTATGGATGTTCTACCTATAGATATAGATAAGGAATGTTTGTTACATTTGGTACCAGGTACATACATGTACATGTACAATATCAACTGATAATGTTATGTGATGTCACAAGTGGATAATCTGATCTTTGACTTTCTATATTAATAATAATCATCTCAGACTACATGTACAATGTAGTTGAATGTACAGTACCGGTACTTTCTGTAGCCTACATGTATACAAATTTATTACATTGTATCTCTAACAAACATCATTTATTTAAAACTTACCTATATATACCAATTATTAAATAAATATAAGCTTACTATTTGCAATAAACTGTGGTAAATCATAGAATTTAGAAATGATCAATTTGATGCATTTCAACATGTTACTTTACATAACAATACTATAGTCATTTTTATATAAGTCAATTCAGAAAGAAAATGTTATTGGTTCAATTAAATATTTTAGACTGTCAGAAGTCTAGATTATTATGATGAATTTTATGAAACAATGTCTGAATGTCAATCATCATTCGATGAATTCTCCAGTCCAAAGATGTGTTTTATTTATTTATTACTTACCGTTTTAGTATCATATTCTTCAAGCGGAACAATTTCTATTATGTCGTTATCACTCAAACTAGCAGCATCTTGTGAAGTATCCATGATGCTTACTGGATAGTTAATTAATAAAGTGTATTCCCAATTATTAAACCGATGTTATTTCATTTCAATTTCTCTTGTCAGTCATTCATAAATAAAAATCAGACATTCTTGCACCGACTCAATTAACTATTCCACTCCTTGCGACTGCCACAGTTTAGTGTCAATCGGCTTTGAAAACACCTAGTACAAAACGTCGACGGTCTTATTCAAACATTAATGAAAGTCCTGAATGTTTACAATTGTTGAATTTGAAAGAAAATTCCTCTTTAATTGAGTCATCTCTGAATATTTGAGAATCTATTTCATTTTCATCTTTCTACGCATGACGGTGATAATGAGGGACTTCCGATATTTAATCCAATCAGTGTTTAGCTTGTGTCTATTTTTAGTACTCGGTAAACATGCCACACGTGGGTTGTGTTTAGACTGTCAAATAAATTTTTTCGGTTACAAAACTTTTGACTTAAATGGTCAATTATATTGTTTTAACTGAAATATTTTCCAATGTTCGTATAAACAGATGCAACATATATTTTACAAAGAGTTTAGAGCTACGAACAAACACTATTACCGTTTTACCTTTTCTTTGATTGGGGTGGCGATTGGTTAGCGAGTGCGCGTTGTATCCTAAGCTCTGTCATTGAGTCACCTGGCGTGGTTTCGTTCCCCCGGTTGTACGTGACAAGTAGTGGGGTTGCCTGTCCAACCTCGTGGGTTTTTCCGGGTCCCAGTTTCCTCCCACTGCTAAAGATCCCTACTACGCGCAAGCGAATTATTGAAAAAAAAATGAACCATTTGTTAGTCCCAAAATGACCTAGTTTGTGTCGAGTGGACGTTAAAATTGAACCGTTTGTTAGTCCCAAATGACCTAGTTTGTGTCGAGTGGGAGTGGACGTGAAACCTAGTTCTCTCTCTCTCTCTCTCTCTCTCTCTCTCTCTCAGTTTTCTTTGATTATAATTAAGGTGCTCATGGACTTTACCTGTAATACATGCATGATTTCGGTAAATCGTGCTACCGGAATGAATATGTACAGCGACTTTCGCCTCGTATTTAGTTGTGTGTTTTTTTTGTTGTTTTTTTTGTATTTTCTTTTTTAAAGGCACCCCACCCCAAACTCACACTTCTCGTGGTTTAATTACCAAGTACCCCCTTGACTTAGTTCAATGTGAAAGGGATTCGAGTGAAGTCGAAGTATCTATATTTGATTTCCTGTTTTCATATCTACATCTACCGAATTACGGACTCTACTTTATAAGAGTCTAGAATTGATTTGTTATGATGCTTCTGGATCCTTTTTTTAAATTGCCTCTACGAAACATCATGTATTTGTTTAGATAGTTGTCTTTTGTACTTATTATTATCAGATTTACTTAAATCTGTTGAGTAACGCTTTTACTGGCTACGGTCACTTTTTTGATAACTAAAAAAGATATGAGATACCGAGCCGAACCAGGTATCGAATTAAGCAGAAACACCCACAAGAATAGCTACGAGAACGTAGCTAAAAACGTTGAGGTATACTGGTGTGCCCTTTTTTTAGCTACGATTGGGCAGGCCCGTAACTAGATATACATTGTCCGTCAATAACACCCCTGAGAACACCCCCCCCCCCCCTCGTTGCTCTAAGCTAGTTACGGCCTAGCAACGAGAACGTAGCTAAAAACGTTGAGATATACTGATGTGTTTGACGGAGGGTTGAGAGGTAAGATTTGTTGTCTAGTTACGGCCCTGCGATTGGGTGCCTTTAGTTTGAACTGGCAAACCTGATTTCGTTTATGTACTTAACGTATCTTAAAAATAAATTAATTTTATACTATAGGACTTATTAAAGATACAAAGCGCAATTTAGTAAAACAACTTTCCTTTATCTGCAATTAAAATACAGATGCGACGCTATCCTTTGATGTTGGCGTATTTTTATTAATTCAAATAATGGTACGGGGCAATGTGCCAAGCGTACATTATTATACTAGTTGCAATATTTGACGCGCGTGGCGTATTTCATTGAAATGCACGTGCTGGATAGTGTCTGTATTTTAACTTGTTTAATGGTCTCGTGCAATTCAAGACATTGCGTAATATACAGATATTGCACTCGTGCGATCGCATTTGTACAATATCATTATATTACTTTAATTTCTCGCTCTGGCCATTAAAACTACACATATTGTCAATAAAACGCATCGGCGTTGTCAGTACAGCGCATTAGTCCTCCGTGCATCTCTGTTATAAAATTCGCGTTCGTTGCTTCAGGAACATGGCTGTTCTACACGACATAAATGTAAGATGTCAAATTTTAAATGCCGGATAAAGCCAGTTATTATCGTTTCGATTTAAAGAAGGTGGTTTGTACCCGTGTCACTGTCAGATAAGATTATGCTTTATTGTAGTTGTTTGCCAGGTTTGCTTATTGAAAGCCCGATCTGATCTGCATCCGCGGGCTTTGCAAGATGGAACTATAGTACCATCACTTGGCTCGAAACACCGAGGCTTGAAGTGCGTATGTATTGGGATGTACTGTAATTATACTTTCAAACTTTGAATTTACTTCAGTTACAATCCATAACAGTCCCAACATAAGCACGAACTAGAATGAAGGAGAGTGCGAGCCGCGGTGGTTGGAGGGGCAAAGCTAGGGAAAAGTTCAAGGTTAAGGGGCAAAGTCAAAGGCACGCGCTTCAACCAGGGGTATGTCCCCTCCTACCCCCTCCCCCTCCCCCTCAGAAATATTTAAAAAAAAAAAAAAACAGAAATGCAGTGAGGTGGTATTTTAGGCATTGATCATCCAGATAAATAGATCTAACCAGATGCCACAGTCACCTGACCACTAGTTTATCTACGAAAGCCCAGAAGGCACATTCCAAATTCCAAATGCGAAATTCCAAATTCATGTCTTACCGATAAAATAGCAAATTGGCAGCCCCCCTCAATTAAACAAATTAGAATTTATATAACTGATAATTTTACACAACTAATTACTTCTAGTTTACCTATCTGGGCCGGATAAATACCGTTCCAAATTACTAGATTCCAGATTCCAAATTCCAGATTCCAAATTCCAAATCTGATCCAACCAATTGGATCAGGTTTTTGCTTTTGACTAATCAGTTAGAGAGAGAGAGAGAGAAACGGGGTTTAACGTCCACTCGACACAAACTAGGTCATTTCGGGACTAACATATGGTTTTAATTTTATTTCAATAATTCACTTGCGCGTAGGGGTCTTTAGCAGTGGGAGGAAACCGGAGGACTCGGAGAAAAACCACGAGGTTGGACAGGCCACCCTACTCCTTGTCACGTACAACCGTACAATGTGGGCGTATAAAAATGATAAATAAATGAAGATTGGGCATAATTCAAGTTTATAAAGAATTGACAAATAAATTGATGAGGATACAGTCTTAATCCTGAGAGATGGGGTGGGTGCGCAATTACATTTAAAACACAAATAGTTAATCCTCTTGCAGTAGTGTTAGAAAGGTTGGGTCGGGGTCGAAAGGGCAGGTTGGCTTGGACAGTGATTTGGGTTACTGCTTGAGAACTTGTTTTTCTGTCAGGACAGGAAAAGGAAATGAAATGGGATTTAACGTCCTACTGTTCTGCTCCGACTGGGCTAATGCCACACGGTGTGCTATGAGGGAAATTTTGCCCTGACAGTAGCACTATGGCCTACTCTTATATATCGAATTCAAATTGCAAAGGGATCTTTCAAATGCATGTCAATGTGTACATTGGACTTCGGTTTTTCATCCCATCCAAATGACTAGACAGCTGTCCTTGTCAGGCCCTCCGTCCTGCACCACTGACAAGAGAAACTATGTCAGAAAATCCTGATGAACTTTCTCAGCCAATGCAGGAATGAAACACGTGACCTCCAGGCTAGCAAGCCAGCATCTTACCCACGACAATATATGACAGGAAAAGAATATATATGACGCCTAAAACAATTTTATTTTTCTACTCCATACCCAGACCTTTTTGTATACAAATATATTTTATTCTGTCATTAGGAAACATTATGAACTAACTCTTGGGTTCTTTTACCTGCACGTCGGGTTTTTATTACCATCTGATCAACTAGACACTTTACCTTGACAGAATCACTATGGGACACCAAGAGGGAGAGAGAGAGAAATGGAGTTAACGTCCACTTGACACAAACTAGGTCATTTCGGGACTAACACATGGTTTAATTTTATTTCAATAATTCGCTTGCGCGTAGGGGTCTTTAGCAGTGGGAGGAAACCAGAGGACCCGGAGAAAAACCACGAGATTGGAACACCAAGAGGGACTTAAAACTATTAATACCTAGGATTGATGTTACCAATCATTTCGGATCACAGAATCTTTTGATTATTCTCATCTGATCTGTAATATGTTGTTCCTAATACATGTATTAGTTGTATATGCTAAATGTACATACACTAGAATCACGTTTATTAAAATGAGGTATAATATCTGCTGAAAAAGAAATGGCATTTTGGTTGCTAGAATGTTTACTAAGGCATGGATATCATTCTTGTTATAACATTTACAGGTACCTAATTTTAGCAAAACCAAGAATATTATGCTTAGGACATTATGCTTTGAAAGATAGAACATCAACATAATATTTTTGATAAAATACAGTATTATGCTCAAGTGGTTTCTAAGGAAGATGGTCTTTTTCTCTGTTTTGAATCTACTTGTATCGTCAATAATTGATGCATTTGAGATGTCAGTCATATGGAAAATTCCCTCGAAAGTATGATTCCAGCTCCCCTGGTCCAGTCTGTGAAAAAAGAAAACTACTTATCATGCCTGGTGACTGCTCATTATTCAAGCAATTAGCAAAATAAAGCTGGTTATGCATGGCAGACTATTCATTTTGTTTGCGAAGGTATAAAACTGTTTTTCATTTATTTTAAGCAAGAAGGTAAATTTACCATCATTGAAATACTGCAACAAGCTAGTGTCCCCTGCTCAATCCCGAAATAAATTGATTTTAATTGAAAATTTATTTTTTCAAAAAATATCGAAGATGCATAATTCAAGAGATAAATCGGACCATTGCTTGATTTTCTTTGGGCCGTGAATGAGTTATATAAATTATTAATTAGACATTTATTAACATGACAAGACCATAACCAACTCCCTAGGCCATCAGATGGCTCCCATTTAAGTAGATTAGAACGGTTCGGCCATTTAATAATTTAATCTAAAATTGGATAAGAGAGACTTAAGTCTCAAATAACCAGTACTGTGGTTACGTTAATAAATAATCAATGCAGCTTCATCTACACAAATGTACATGTATGTCAAAACTACAAACAGTGAAAACTTCGCTCAGAATAAAGTAATTTGAAGGAAATTTTCAATATATTCATTTTGCATTATCTATTTTTGGACGATTATAACAACAACGGCCAGCTCTATCTAAATCTTACATTATGCATCTTTAAGCAATAAAATTTCTTATCACTCTGGTTATACTGAGCAGAAAATGTTCTTTATCGGACTCATTCAAGGTACCGATGCAATGAAATAATCTTAAGTTCATCACTTTAACTCAGTTAGAATCAAAGTTATTGTGTTCCAAAAGATCATTGAAACAATTCCTTATCTCTGCTTAGCCTTAGCAGAAAATACTCATCAATGAACTCAGTAAAGACATTCATGTAATGAACATTTACCTCTAAAAGAAACAGAGCTATTGTGTACCAAAAATTGTGAAGGAGAGGCAAACAGATGAACCCATTTTAATTCCTCCTGCAGAGGAAAACCAACTGATGAATTATTGTACAGTTACAAATTTAACCAAAAACAATAGTGGGGTGATTGTAATAGTTTTAAATGAACCTCTATAAACAGAGATATGTGTGCAACATGGTGTGTAGCATATTCCTGAAACAATGGCCTCAGAAATATTTCTCTAGCCATAGCTGTACTTAGAGCCAAAATTTGGGTTTTTGATGGAGTGCATTTATTTTTATCTTATAACCAAATCTTTCCTGTCTTCCATTGTTGGAAGTCTTAGTTGGTTTCTATTGAGTTTGTTAAAACAACTGATACTTATGTAATATGACAGTCCATATCTTTGATATGGTATCTTCCCTACAAATTTAGACCATTTCTTATTTACTTAGCAAGTTAACATTGCTTAGAATTTATATTGTACTTTTTTTGTTAAATTGTTTTTTCTTTTATTATTTCAACTTTTCATTTGCACCAATTATTTCAATACAAGATACAGAAGCAAAGTAATATGAATACATTGTATAATATATTATTGACCATAATATATTTGTCCATAATAATGTGAAGAACTATGAAATTCCTCCATCCAATCAGTGGAAAGAGTGTCATTGTTATTTTATTGTGTTGATTCCTCATTATTAGACAATTGTTTGTTAAATTTTTTTATTTGACAAAATCAATACTGACTTTGTTTATGTTACATATACATTCCTTAATGTACACAGTAATTTTTTTTAGAAGCTTTACTTCCATTGTCTTTTGTTTTTCTTTACACAGAAGCCTGCTTCATTCTGGTCAACTAATTATCTGAATATAAATAACATATTCCACAATATAAAAAGTTAAACTCAACATGTACGTTTTCATATAACATGTCTAAAATAATTTATATCTTGACCACACAGAATTAACCATTTTATGAAACTGTTTTTTGTAAACTTGTTAATTGTCACCAGATTCCTTTACAGTACTAGTCCTGGGAGTTGTTTTAGCACATTTTCTGTGAAATGTTCAAGTAAACGTTTATTTCATCAATTTTTTCTCATAGTTATCATAGTGTTAATCTCCCAGTTTATAGAACGTATCTGATCTATTATCTCCTTTAATTGTTGATTTTTTACTCGTACTTGCTGAAAAATGAAAGAAAACATAGTTTTAGGAATTAAATACGGGTACAGATTAAATGGATCTAGATGCAGAAGCATTACACAGAATCTGTGATCACTGATTCCTTTCATGGGTGTATTCCCGGTACAACACATTGTCTCAACATGGCCCATTTGATTGGACAATTACAGGGAGTTCTACTCATCGGAAATAACTGACTAATATTACTCAACAGAAATAAGTGCTAGTCGCATGGAAAAACACAGTGATCAAAAACAATAAAATATAACTGATATAACACAGAATTTACTAAAAGAGGCGACTGTGTGGACTAAGTGATGAAACCTTGGAGATTATTCAATATTTTATGCTTTTGTTTCTTGATATGTACAGCTTCCCTTCACCCTACACCTAAAATGCCTATGCATTTGATCATATACTTTGGGTTACATACAACTTTATTGCATACTTAAACATACATTATGCAAGAGCTAAATCTGCCTATTGGTCTTTCTTTAGACCTGAAATGTTATATAGATTATTAATTAGACATTAATTAACTTATCAAAACCATAATCAACTCTGATGCCATCATTAGCCTGCGATATTTAGTGGATTTGAATACATTTTGTGAAGGATACTTCAACATAAAAATGGATAATCAAGACTTTGTTTATTATCATACCCACGTTAGTAATGATGATCGAGGCTAACCTAAAATTGAATCACTAATATCTCGGTTCAGAGTGACATTTTAAGCATATTCTGTTTTCATTATCTATTTTTTAACTATTATAGCGAGAACAGTCAGCTCTTTATCTTACCTAATGTCCCTTTAACTATACATGTATACCAATTATGTTTTAAATAATATATAGCCATTTATTATACCTCTACTAACTCTCTGTGTTCATCTGCTACATATGGATAGACTTCAGAATTAACAGGAAAACTCTCTATATCTCTTCCAACAATAGGTACCAGTTGCTGAAATAAACATATAACATAAATTATCCAGCTGATTTCAAGCTGAGTCTAAAAGAAAAAAAAAAATCATTCAAACACCACACTTAATCTAAAGATTGCCTTCTTCATGACATCACTGGCAGAACCAGAATTAGCCACTGTCATATGGAAAAGATAGAAACACAGTAAATTTCGACACAAACAATACAGAAATCTCACTACTTGACTAAATGTATTGACAACATCTTGAAACCTATTTTTTTAATTAAGGGAAGTGTAGGCTAGCTGTTATCATTATCTATCTTTTGTTAGAATATAGAAACTGAACTGTCAACTGAAATGGATGATCAATATATCATCACTGACACAGGTTTTTTTTCACACATAAGTAATGATGCGTCATTTGTATTTTTCAGTAGAATATGGAATTTCTTACGGCTTAATCCATGCTAATTAATATGCACTCAGATTGATTATTGAACATTTTATTAAGTTCCAAATCTCTTGCAAATACTAAACGGAATATTGAACAATTTATGGACTGATATTCCTATTAGAGATTTATCTTTCACAATTCATATAGTGCTAAAACGATGCATTAAGACAAGCGTTGGCTTCTCATAAATTTTCTATATATTTACCTCATATGTAGGTTCTTCCATCTCACTACAAGTTTCTTCAACTTTGTCATAAATAGCTCGTAATTTTTTAAAGGTTAAACTCAGGGTTTTAAGCTGCTCTTCTAATTTCTGTTTTCTTTCTTGATGATTCTGTGCTGTATAACTAACGTTATTGGGTAACTGAAATACATGACATGTAAAGATTATAGGTTATATACTACATATTCTGCATTTCCAGCATATTCATAGTCTTAAAATGTACTAGCCAGAGACACCTCTCTCTTTCTGGCGGGCGGGGGGTGTCTGAGGTGGTTACCTATTGAATAACAGGGTACTGTCATTGAACCAAAATTGATGCCTTATACACACATAACTAACATTAGGGTTTTTTTTATATCACTTGCAATACTAGGGAAGTGAATTTTGGCATACTGTCGTCAAATTTTTTTTTATGCATACAGTGCAGTTTAACATGTACATGGTAGATCTCTGTTTTCATTCCATTCAAAAGACTACACAAAAACTTAAATTTTCAGTCCCGCAGGAGCTAATCTTGACCAGTGGTTTAATGCCCAACCAAGGCTCATAATGAAAATCAAATCCAGGACATTGTCGACATTCCAGTGCCCCTACTGTTCGACTACTGCAGTCCCTATATGATATGTGTATTCTAATGCTATGATTCTTTTCAAATATGTTTTTAAATAGCGTGACCATACATAATTGTATTTGATTTGGCCTTAACATTTACACCATCTACGATTCAAACGTTTGCCATGTAGTCTACTGTTTAAGCCAAATTCTCAGAAAGGGGATACTAACGCATTTCCTACAGCACTCTGAATAACATCTCTTTTTTAAATCTATATTAAGAAAAATGTCAAATGTATTACTTGAATGGTTCCTTGCTTTCCTAAACCTTGACCAAAAATATCTGATGCTTTCTGAACCAATTCATAAATGATCTCTTGTCCACTTTTACAAAATGTTGCTGCATTCACCATTTTATTTGGTGACATAGTTGATGTGCCCTGTGCCCCAGCCACGCCTTGTGGTTGTGCTGCCACTTGTAATGATTGATAGTTGGATGGTGCAGAAACTTGAGATGTTAATGGAAAATGTTTGCCACCTGCTGCCGATGGTTGTTTGGCAGCCATTTTTATACTGTTCCTGAAAAACGGAAAAGGACATGTCCTATAATATAAGTTATCTGTCTTTAACTATTATCAAAGAGAAGACTCTTTGAAATTTTATAATACTAGTAGGGGTATTGGATTGAATAATTGAACTCATAAAGTTACTAGTTTCGTTTTTCTTCGATTGTACGGCTGTTCTATTTACATGTAAATTTATATGGTCGTTCGGGACGGGAACAGGCTACAATTGAGGTCTCAGGAGGACCAGAGTAATTCTGTTTCACAGGAGCTGCTGCTTCTGTAATATTAAGTCTTGCACATATTTTTATAATCATCATCAATTTATTCATTTATATTTAATTTCATCATACCAAATATTAAAAAGATTTTATTTAAAAGAAATTTATATTTTAAATGAAGAGAATTTAATTGGATCTCATCTGAAAAATGCACTATTATACACATTATTGTTTAAATATTCCTGGTAAATACAATTTTTATTAAGGGTTTTGTCAAGGGACACTCAGGGTGTGCACATCTTAGAACACTTAAAATTCCAGGAGCTTTCCAGGAGTCCCTGTATAGAATTCCTACATCATAATGTAGTTTTTTTTTATGCTTGAAGAACATTTTACAGCGACGAACAAGTGAACTTTTGAAGAAACATTCAATGACTACGTTGAGTTTTATATCTTAAAATATATAGCGAAACCACAAATGTTAATTTTCTAGGAGTTTCAAGGAGTTATCTTGTTTTTCCAGGATTTTCCAGTACTGGAAATCACATTTTCATTTTTCCAGGAGTTTCTAAGAGTGTGCGAATTTTGTTTGTACTTTGGATATATGAGCTAAAACTTTTAGTTATAACTACTTGCATGTGATTGTGATGGCAGAACTTATGACCTACATTACATCCTACTTCACCATTCAACCCTACATGTAGCTACATGTACGATAACGTAGCTAAAAACATTCTGCTGTGTTTGTTTCTTGCTATGATTGGATGCCTTTAGTTTCACCTGGCAAACCTACTTTCTTTATTAATTATGCATGTAAAATCTTAAAAATAAGTTAATTTTATATTAGGACTAAACATATACCCAGCCCAATGTAGTGAAACAACTTTTGTTTATCTGCAAATATTGTCGGTAAAGTTAATCAAGCAGTGTTTTTACCCAAATTGATACAGACATTCATAATTACGGTGCATCATTAGTCGTGTACAACTCGTAAATGTTCTGTACCGTACTTCACAGTATTTTTATTGACTGTTGTAGGCTACATGACTAAGCCCTGCCTTCCATTTTAAAATGTTGGGCAAAGCCAGCTACAATATTATCACTTGGATATAAAACGGATGGTTTGTACCGGGTGGTACTTTTTACCGCCATCCGATACTTTTACCGCCGACCGTCGTGAAATTACCGCCGACCAAATACTTTTTACCGCCGACCGCATTGTAATGACTTTCGACCGTAATATAATTACCGCCGACCAAATACTTGTTACCGCCGACCAAACGCTTAATGATTCCTGTAATATAAAATTAATTAAATTATTAGTGACAAATAAAAAGATTTGGTTAAATACACATAGTTTGATAAAAATATAGATTTTATTATATATAAATATGGTTGACAATCTAATACGATAATATCCAACCTTGCACCAAATTAGTGGGACCTCATATGAGATCTTACACAAACGACCACAAAGAGGACAACTGACTGCACCCTGTGCAGTGAAAGGTCGATTCTTTGCCGCCTCACGTCTCTTCTGCTGGTCAATATAAATCATATTAATTATTATTCTTTGGATGGGAACTATATGCCTATGTTGTTTAATATGGCAAGGTGTGATTTTCAAATGTCAATTAGCCATATATACAGATTAATGACCATGTGCAATATGCATGGACATCTCTTTACGTTCTTGATTAAGGTGTGAATTCAGGTAGGTGTTAACTCAGATTGTTCTGGCTACTACTTGGCGAGTGTCTGTTCCTTTTTGTTTACTGTCAAACCCTCGTCCGTAGGTATATCATGTCCAGAAATATTGTATACTGTATCAGTATAGTTTAATGTTATTCCTTCGCTATGTATCGTTCCAAGAGAAAAATCGTGTATTCCAAACGTGCTGCCTTTTACCCATGTGGGGTTTGTCGTGAGAATTGTACCACCAACTCAGTCCAATGTAACGATTGCAACGTCTGGTACCATTACGGCTGCAATGGAATTAACGAAGAGCATGTGCCATTTGTAGAAAATGCGTTGAACAAGTTTAAGTGCCTGACATGTCTTTCATGCGATATGAATGAACAATATGAATATGAGAAAGCTATTCAAAGGTTATCTAAGGCTAAAAATCAAATTTAATGTACAAACTCTTTCCTTGAAACAATCATATATATATTTATGAATAAAACAACCTTGTCGGCGGTAATTATATTACTGTCGAAAGTCATTGCAATGCGGCCGGCGGTAAAAAGTATTTGGTCGGCGGTAATTACACGACGGTCGGTGGTAAAAAGCATTTGGTCGGCGGTAGTTGTACAGTTGTACGTGATTACACCTCAAATAAAAACTTAACATTCTTGTTGTATTCTTTTTTATATAAAAAAAACAATCGTAAAATTTCCGGCGGTAACAAGGAATCATTAAGTATTTGGTCGGCGGTAACAACTATTTAGTCGGCGGTAATTATATTAGTATTACGGTCGAAAGTCATTACAATGCGGTCGGCGGTAAAAAGTATTTGGTCGTCGGTAATTACACGACGGTCGGCAGTAAAAAGCATTTGGTCGGCGGTAAAAAGTACCACCGGTTTGTACCCTTGTCAGATAGGATTCTATGCTTTATATTAATTATATTGTACTTGTAGATGGATGTAGCAGAAATGATAAATCTAATTAATCAATCATTCTTTTGAAGAAAAAATTGACAATGAATGACAGTTTTGCTTATTATTGAAGTACTAGTACTGTCTGATTTGCATCGTATTTTGCCAGAAAGAACTTTATAGGCCTAATACCATCTTTAATTTTGAGGCACGCAGGGTCGAGAGATAAGGTTTCTTAAAACATTCAATGGTAACACCATTGGTTGGAGTGACTTGGTCTTTGTCACTTGTTTGTGTTTTGGAAAGCAGGAAACAAACGGAAACCCAAACAAACAAATCATTCCTTGCATCGTGTCGTATTCATTAAGCAGTATATAAAACACGGCATTTACTTTCCGTTTACACTTACGACCTATTATCACTATTCCTAAATGATAATACTGTGTCTGAGCATATCAAAATATCAATGCTTTTTTCATTAAGCTAGTAGGCTAGCGTCTATTTTGTTTTCAAATCACCCACCCTCCATTACGTGAAATTTCGAGATTTAGCGGGATTTTGCTCGAGTTCCCGTAGTCCCGTTTATTTAGTTCACATAGCATTATGCTGTTTCATCTAAATCACTGTTTAACCAAGACTACTCAAATAACAGTATCCATTTTATGATGCGTGTTAAAAAATATTGCGAGTTCGAGACCAATGTTTGCCGTTGTTCAATTTGTAAGATATAAAATTTCCCATTTTACACATTTTTACTTTTTGATTCTGTTTCATATTGAAGTTAACTTGCATTTTGTCAAATAGAAATGACGTGGAAATTTGAACTAAGTTTCATTTCGATTTCCGTTAAGAGGTAATATCCACCGAATCCCCACCCCACTTACACACACAGACGACAGAGCGGTTCTGGTCTGGTGGTACCTTAGACAATCGTTTTTAATTCTTGTTTTGTTGAAATTTTATTCTTAACTTAATGATGATATAATGCTTTTGATCACTTTCAAATCAGAAAATTACTGTGTACTTTATTCAGAAAGAAATATTTGAAAGCAAAAAAAACATTAAGATTGTTGACCTAATTTCTTGATTCTTAATAAGATTTTGACAATATTGCTCTTGTTTGTCTCACATAATTTCTTGTGTTATTTTAAAATTCAAAGATTATATCTTTTACATTGTATACAATAACCGTTAAATCCCCAGATATTAGCTTTGCCACATTGGCACAGGGGATAAAATGGTGTCAAATTATATACATAGTGTGAAGATTTTTCAGTGAACAGCCAGGGGTAGTGAGTTCAAATCCAGTTCTCAATCAATTGTGAAGAATTAAAATACAAGACATTTTGTCTTGATTTCACAGTAATGTCTGTCTTTATTGAGTCTAAGGTACTGATCTTGGCTAGATTTTCAGTTTGTTGACACTTTGCTTGTGACAGGTGGAGTCAATGTCACAATGAATAGCCTCTTAGTCTAGTATAATGTAGATTATAATATACATGTAGTCTGTTTGTAGACAATGACATGGGTTATCTCTAGATGCTTTGTTTAGTCTGAAATATCTTACCTCTACTAGTATCTGAAATATGTCCATCCCTCCAAGATATTCAGTTGGACAACATTAAGTACTGACTTAAATACCATAATATACTAAACAGCAAAAAAAACCCGTCAATACGATTTCAAAAACAGAGAGGCACTTTTATCAAATCATTCTAGAAAACGACTCAAGAAATGGATTAAAGCAATTTTTTGTGAACAGTATGTTGACACATTAGTGATTAATTCATCACAATTCCAAGACATTACAAGAAGGTTTAGAGTCAGTACACAGTCTATACATCAGTATCTGGTGTGTCCACCGTGAGTGTCAATAACAGCAGCGCAGCGTCTGTACATGGAGTGGACCAGACGATTGATGAACGCCATTGGCACCTGGAACCACACTCTCAGAAAAGTCTGGTGCAATCCATCGGCTGTGTTTGGTCTCGGTACGACTTTATTAAGTCTCCTCTGAATTTCATCCCAAAGATGTTCAATTGGGTTTAAGTCCGGACTAAGGGCTGACCAGTGCATAACGTTGACACCGTTCTGCTGTAGAAAGTCCTGAGTAACTCTGGCAGTGTGTTTTGTTCGCTAGGTTTTGTGTATTTGTTCCTTATACTATTGGATGCGTTTTCTAGCTAATGATACTATTTCACAATCTACATTGAAAAATATTTATTTATTGTTTTAACTGCATGTATTTATATTTTGTAACTAACACGGTGTTTCTTGTTATTTATGATACAGTGCACGCACGAAAATGCATGGTCTGTTTTGACAATCTCCGGGTTAGTATGTTGGGGTGTTCATTTATATGAACACCTACTTTTCCTCAAATGATCACCTGTGCACGTGCTAAAACAACACATTACAGGTCAAAACAAAGGGTCCAGTGTGTAATATATATTGTTGTCACCCCTGTTTGTCTGTCCATTGGTTTGGTGTCTATAGATGCTTGTGGTTGCTTTAGGGGAGAAAGTTATCATCCACTCCAATACTCCAATACAAAAGAATAAAATTGGGGCAGCTTTTAAGTACTGGTCTTACCCCTTGGCAGCAGCCCCTAAAAAAGTTCATGCAGGTTTAATGGTGTGGGGGTAGAGAAGAGAAGAGTTTCACTGTTTACTACGGTGATAGGCCTATCATTATGCCTAATCCTTTACACACCACAGACTTGATAGACTCCCAATTATAAAACCAGGGCCCTGTTTCTCGAAATCTTAACTAAAGATAAAATCCAAATTTTAGTAGATACAAAAGAATAAAATTGGGGCAGCTTTTAAGTACTGGTCTTACCCCTTGGCAGCAGCCCCTAAAAAAGTTCATGCAGGTTTAATGGTGTGGGGGTAGAGAAGAGAAGAGTTTCACTGTTTACTACGGTGATAGGCCTATGGCCCTTAGAGATTTGGTCCTATCGTTATGCCTAATCCTATACACTCCACAGACTTGATAGACTCCCAATTATAAAACCAGGGCCCTGTTTCTCGAAATCTTAACTAAAGATAAAATCCAAATTTTAGTAGATACTTTAATTTTGATTGGCTAAGCACTAAAATCAATCTAATATTATCCAATCAAATTACTAAAATTTGGATTTTATCTTAGTTAAAATTTTGTGAAACAGGCCCCAGGATGGCACTAGTGGGCAGGTTCCATTTTGTACCGACTAACCTGCAATCTGATTGTATTGAGTCGTCAAAACATGAAAACATAGTCTATTTACCTTGTGTGAAAGTGTCAAATTAAGATATTAAACCTTCCTTTTCGATTTACATAACGCATTTAAGGAATGTCATAGTTAAACTGAATGAGTGATTTGATAGTTACTTACCAGTACCACTAAAATTTCGATAAGAATACAGATATGGTTATTCAGGCACTTACATAAGATCATGTTTATATTTCTTCAGATAGCTGTAGGGACTAGGAATAAGAGAGGTGTTATAAGGGGCTTCTGAGACTTCTCTTTTAAGACTTGTTTCCATGTGTAAAGTGGGCTAAATACATGTACTGTAGTTTATTTTGCCCCAAACTCTTTTGTTTTCTTAGAATTCAATAATGTACAGTTATCATTCACCTACACGAACATGTATGATAATCTTCAACCTAGGGTAGAAATAGCCATTATTATTATTGCAGGACACATTGATGTGCTTTAAAAATTATAAGCTTACTGGTCCATTATGTATACATTATGTATTATTGCAGGACACATTGATGTGCTTTATAAATTATAAGCTTACTGGTCCATTATGTATACACTACGACGTACATGATGTACACTACACATGTATTTCTAGATTAAATCTGTACTATCTTGATCTGTTTTATAAGATGGGATGTACTAATGTATTGTTCATCTGATTTTCTGTTTCAGTTGTGACGAAATGAAGCCATCTCGTAAAGCTCGTAAGACTATGCATGGTGCTGATGTCTCATTGCCACAACAAATCACTGTCTCACCCATCCCTGCTGGGACGAGAACAAAAAAAGCAAAGCTGTCTAAAAGTTCAACGAGTACCAACATGAAAAATACACCAACTAGATTACCTGGTGGTTTGTCTAAAATAAGAACAGGTGAGCTTTATAAAGGGATTGCCATAAGGACTTGCATTTGATCGGATAGAACTGTAGGTCCTAGCAATCTCTGCTCTCGGACATTTCTACTTTACACTGGTTTGATAAGAAAGCATTTTTTCTTCTGCTAAAGACACCTACCCGTAAGTGAATCAGTGAAATGAATTGAACCCCATACATTATATGTTTTCCTGAGTTTGTGTTAGCGTGTGGGTGTTGTACCATAAGGTCAATCATTGAGTCAACTGCCTGGATTATGGCCACTGATTGTACAAAAAATCACTTTTTTTTAGCCCATTCTCTCTCCATCTCTTCCAAAATGTGTGTGTATTTTGCATGGCAACCACTTATTAAGAAGTGAGACACAGTGTCTACCAAAAGTGTTAATGTCTCAGTCTGACTTGGAACACCAAAACAGAAAACAAACCACAAAGTGACAATGCGCACAGTATCAACACTAATCCAAATAACATAGTACATGTATGTGCAGAAGATCTATGTTGTACCAAATGCTTTCTAATTCTATACAGAAATTTCTAATTCTATACAGAATATGAAAAAGTGATTTTGGATAAATATTTAACAATACTCAGAACTAACTATTTTCTATTTAATTCCAGATGGTGCAGTATTAAAAACATCAACACCAATAACAGCTTCAACCAGCAGGAAGAGAAAACTTAACAATTCAAATGATAGTGAAGCATCAAGTAAATGTGCAAAAAAAGGAGATGCTACATTGAATGACACTGGCCTGTTTACAACTGATTTGTCCATGATAGAAGAAAAGACATCAAATGTGTCTACAACTAAAGATAAATTCTCACAAAAGACTAATGTTAGCAGTGTTTGCGGTGCAGATATAGCTAAAGGTTCGCTCATTGAGGCTAGATCTGGTTTAAAAACAGCCATCAAACAAACAGCAAGAAAGTCCATGAAAAAATCTACTGTGAATCTTCCACCAAGTGCAGAGTCTAAAAAAACAGACACATCAGTGCCATCAAATAAAAAGTCAAAAAGTGCTGCCACATCATTGTCTTCAAAAAAGAAGTCATCAAGAGTAAAAACAGATGACAGTTTATTATCTAAAAAGAGAACAAGCTTTCAAAAAGAATCTAAGGGAAAGGAAACACCTGTTCAATCTGTAAATGATGCTTTAAAGTCACCAAGAGCTACAGCTAAGCCCACATGTAAAAAGTCCAAGAAAAAAGAAACCTCAATTAAAATAGTGGACACTGGTCAAGCATCTTTTAATTCTAGTGTTAAATCCCCTGTGAGTAAAAGTAGGGGTAAACAAACACATAGGGATCATAGGCAGAAATCACCTGCAACTAAATCTACACACAGAAAGTCTAAAGGAAAGGATACATCAGATCATCAAAATGCCATCCTTACATCACCAAATGGTACTAGTGGAAAATACAAAAAAACAAAAGTAAAAGAAAAGAACACATTAATAATTAACATTCAGAAGTCTCTAAATTTTAATGCTAAATCAGGAAAGAGTAAGGATAAAGGTAAGGGATTGCTACCTGTTGAACATATCCAGAAGTCATCTGACTCAACTGAAACGCATATCACAGCTACAAGTGATCCACAGACAGTTGCCACAAGGTCATCCAGGGGAAGAACCATTACACCATCTCGAAAGGTCTCTGAGAATAAGCAGAATTCACCAAACAAAATTAATACAAGTCTGAATCAGTTACTGATTAAAACTCCACCAAGTCACCAGGAAGGCAAAGCCATGAATATTGCAGCAAAGACTACAGAGAATACTCTGCCCGGAAATGAATCTTCACAAACTAAAAAAATGACCGATGTGTTTGATATTGTAAAAACAGAGACATCAGACTTTGCTGAAGCATATCAAAATACAGCCATTATTCAAGATTTTATCAAGACATCACTCATTAACAAATCTCCTAAGCAGAGTCTTAAAGCACAAGTATTTTCAAAAGATGCCTGTGTGGCAGATTTGTCCACAGCACCAGCTGGATTTACAGGGAACCAGAGAGCTGCCTCTGAATACTCAATTAAAGATTCAGAAAATTCTTTAAGCAGATCTTGTAGTGCAATCATGGACACATCAAACTTTTTCTCTGAATCTGATCTGATCAGTTTATCTGAGTCTCAGTATCAAAGCTCCATGGAGAACATGAACAATTCCTCGGTGTTAGCAACTCCAATTAAGGAAGAAGCCAGTGACTCTTTGCTGACGGAAGCAAAATCATTTGATCAACCAGTGCCAAGAACAACATCTGATAGTGATAGAGCAACAAACAGAGATGTTTCTCTACTTCAAGCGTCCACATTTGAAATTTTGGTTCCATTGAAAGTAGAAAAGACTTCTCCTAAACCTCAATTAGATAGATCTGTTCAATCAACTACTCTTCAAGCTAGTAACCCCCCACCAGTTTTGCCATCATTACAACCCCAAAAGCCTGAGGAGCCAAATCATCCAGTTAGGTCTGACCATCCAATTAAACCTGTCTTTTCAAGCATAATTGCAAACATTTCCAAGTCATCTCCTGAAAAATCTTTTCAGCCATGCTCTACATCAATTGTTGAAACCACTCCAAGAAAACCTGATCCACCTGTTCTGACATCACCAAATAAGAACAAACCACTCCAGTCTATAGATACTAAAACAGTTAATTCAAACATTTTTCAACCACTTAATCCAGTTCTACCCCTTTCCACAACAGTGGTAGCCATATCTCAAACACAAAAACCTGTTCTACCCCTTCCCACAACAGTGGTAGCCATAACTCAGAAACAAAAACCTGTGCAGTCAACTATTTCAGAAGCTTTGTCAAAATCTGAGACGAATGAACCAAAGATTGGGCTTCCAGACTCAGTATCTGAATCTTCTGCCAGCAAACATGTAGAAAATAGTCCATGTAAATCAGTAACTACTAGTTCTACTGATACCAATAATACACCCACAGCTAGTGATGCAAGTGGAAATAGGAATGAGGATGTTGATAAATCCCATCACAGATCTCCAAGTAATTCAATCAGTAAAATAGTGATATCAACAGGTGAACCGACCAATACAGATAAAGGGCCACCGTGTCCTCAAATAAATAAAACTATGCAAGAAACTATCCAAGTTCCTGCAGTAGTTAGTCAACCAGAGGATCATTCAAAAGCATCAAGTACTGTTTCAAAAGGGAACGCCTCATTAACCAGCAGAACACAGTTGTCCAAAAGTATTACAAAAGTGAATCCATCAACCACATTAGCTTTAAAAAGAATCTTGAATACAACTGGTCATTCACCTGCCCAACAAAATTTTATATCTTCCGATACAATTGAGCAAGCTCCAACCAGTACACCAAAAGAAAGAAACACAAGAAAATGGGTAGGATCAACATCCTCCCCACAACCTGTTACTTTCTCATCACCAGAATATCCTCAAATTATCATAAAGTCAGTACCTACACCAACGGATGATAACATATCTAGCATCACAGATAATATACCACTATCAAAGAGTGTAGACTATTTGGAAGTCACATCACAAAATCAGCCCAAGAACATTTGTTCCAAAGAGAATCCAAATACTAAAGAAGGAGCTGTGGAATCTAACAATTTGACAAAAAGCTTAGATCCAGAAGAAATTTTCAAACAGCAAATTCAGTCCTCTAAAGATATAATGAACTCATTGTCAAAGGGCACTTATTTGGGGCCCCAGAAAAGCCAATCCCTATTGTCGACAGGTATGCCAGTGGAAGGACCCTCACATCCAAGAAAAAGATTAAAAGTTCTTTTTCCCAGGAGAAAAGTACTGTCTTCTGATCAACCTAATGAACAGTCAGAATTTAATACTGCACCATTAACTGAGAACAACGAGCCAGCACCTTTAAGTCCTATTCAAGGATCTTCACCACAGAAGCACCCAACCTTACCAGAAGCATCAAACATAGCTTATAAGCATCCTGGCCCCAACCTTTCTTCCCAGAAGCAGTCTGAGGAAACACCTGTTTGTTCCAGTACATCACAGCAAACTCAGAATCTTCTTAAACCTTCTTCTTATAGTCCCAAACCATCAAATCAAAGCAAAAAGCAGGACTCTACTGTAAAAGAGAAATCTGCTAATAATTCAAAAGGTCAAGCAATGCCAAAGAATGTGAATATTAGGAAGCAAGCTTCAAAGGTTCAAAAAAATAAAATTACCAAAGCTGTTGATTGTGATGTTGGTCTCAGTGAATCAAACCTTTCATTAGATGATACATTAAATGTGACCAGTACATCGATGAATGAAAACCAGTTCACCAGTATTATAGATACATGTAAATCTAGTGCTAAAGAGATAAAAGCTGCTGGAAATACTTTGTTGTATAGTGGTAATCTAGATGAGAGTAGTATTTTAACAAATTCTTTAATAGATGAAAGTCTTCTAGATGCTAGTTGTTTAGTAGATCTTGCTGGAAGCATTAATGCTAATTTTAGTGCTAAAACTAATCCCACGGAGATGCAATCACAGTCCATTCCTAAACAAACATCACTAGACAGATCTGGAATTGCATCAAAAGAATCAAGCAAAACAAAAACAAAAACCTCATCAAAAAAAACTGACCCAAGTCTAAATGAACCTAAAAGCATCACTAAGCGAACACAAGTCAAAAGATTAACAGGAACAGCTGCAAGAACTAGAATCACAAAGCCAGAGATCAAAATAAGACACGAAAGAATTGATTCCTCTGAATTAATTCACAAGCGAAAAAAAAGATGGATTTTAAATACAGAATTTGAAAGTTTATTCCGCAAAGTTCAAGTGAATGATTCTGGAGAAAAAATAGAAAAAGGTAATAATTTCATCACTAACTTGCTTCAGAAAGCAAATGATTTATTGGTAAACTGCATGGTTGTGACTCCTGAACCAGAAGATACTTTGATGGAAGATATTTCAAACGTAAATGATGGAAACGACCAGGAAGAACAAGCTGCAACTTCCTTAGATGTACCATTGGTGGAAAACTCACATACAGCTGATACTGAATCTGTTGGTGAAGATGAAGTAATCTCAGATTATAGAAAAGGTGTGACGGAAAAGAATAAAATAGGTGATAAGACATCTCCAACCAAATTAACTTCAAATAGAACACCAACAATTCAACTACCAACCAGTAGAATAGAAGCAACGAGAGAAGAGGCCACTTTGCTAAATAAACAAACTAAAGAAATAGAAATTAGTGCCATGGTTGAGAAAAATAACACAGAAATATCAAGAAATAGTGGTGTTCAATCCACAAAATCACTTCCCATGTCAAAACAATTAACAACCAAAATGTCAATTATTTCCATGGTTGACAAAAATAACTCAGAAAATTTAGAGAATAGTAGTTTTCAATCCACAAAACCAACTCCAAAGAAGGTATTTACAGAAACAACCTCAAAACCACCGATAGCTGAACAAGCATCAACGAGTCCTGCAACAAAAATACCTCCCCAAATATGTAAAGATATAGCATCTCCAAAAGCCATAGAAAGAAAAAAAAACCAGATTATGAAGAAAGCAAAACAACGGGAACCAGCCGTGCTTTCAGTCAACACTCTGTTAGATAAGACATCAACAAACTCCACAACAGATTTATCTACTAAAGCCTCAGCGTCTTATGCATCAGAGGTAAATTCGGCTGAAAAAACAGTATCCCTATCGACATCAAGTTCAAGTAAACCTGCTGTAGGAACAGGAATCTTATCAACACCAACTAAATCTCCGGATAATGTTGAAATTACACCCACTAAATCACCTGTTAAGAGAACCGCTAGTAAAGCCCAAATGGTAACAAAGCAGTTGCCAGTAATTTCTTCTTTGGAACAAGCAACCACAATGTCTGCTATAGACACATTACTACCAACGCAACAAGTGGTCTGCAGCTCCCCATTTGGAAGACCATCAGCAGCGAATATGGTAAACAACTCACAACCAAGTAAGAAAACACCAATAAAAACTAGGTCAGCATCCATTAGCAATTCATCAGTACAAGCATCAGTTGATTCTATTGCAGAAAAACATCCTTTACCATCAAAGTCTTCTCCATCTAAATCCCCCCAATTAGTCCAGACAAAAAAAGACCATGCTTCACCACATTCAAATTCTTCAGCTTCACAATCTAGAACTCTTCATTTATCTACAAAGTCCAGAACAACTTTAGATGCACCTGCACATCCTAACACATCTTTAGTATCACCAACTTTATCTCCAAGAACACCACCAAGACGAGCAATCAGTTCATCAACATCCACATGCATGCAAACAACACCACCAAGCTATAGATCAGGAATTGGGGAAAGACAGTTCTGTGATCAAGGAACACAAAGTTTCCATGAAGCACCCCAACGTATAAATAGTTCCACTTCAACATCTTCGCCTTTGCATGTTCCGCATCAAAGAACAATAGAAACACAAACTGACGATCATTTCACTCTGACTGATCCACATTTTCCCAAGTTTGTTCAGAAAACTTTATTTGATTTTAACATGTCAGCAAGAAGAAGGAGTGTTAAATCTGCCAGCAGACCTGAGAAGAGACAATCATTGTTAAATTTCAGCTCCTGGAAAGTCTCACATATTTCGTCCACGAGATCAGGACAAAATGTGCAAAAACCTTCTGCTGTAAACCCTGCATCTCTACAAGTGAACAGTTCTCTGAATTTATCAATCCAATCGAACAGTAACTCTAGTGCGAATAGTTCTGTGATTTACTCAATCCAGCCAGCAATTGATTTGAGTGCTACGACAAACAATTCAGTGAATAATGCAATTGGAGTCTCAAACACTTTCAATATTGGATCGATCATAAATCAGATTAATGTTACAAATGATGGGGCAACTAGCACTGAAGTTTTCGAAAATTCATTGGGCTCTAAGGCTACATCTGTGAATACTCAAAATGTTAATACAAAGGTTCCTGGTGCATCACCTCATGTGAATGCTGGAAAAAACAAAGACAGTCCTCTTTCAAAGGTTACTAAAACATCAAAAGTTTTATTAAACCGTTTGACAACGAAAGAAATTAATCTTTTGTCTTCCCCAACTCGATCTAATTCACAATCAGTAGAAAGTGTCCTGAGCATGCCATCTAAAATGCCTAAAGCAAATTCACAACAACCTCTAAGAACACAAATTACAAATTTTCAAGGCGGGTTCCAGCCAAGTGATTATGCTAGTAGTCCAGAACATTCTGTCATATTAAGTGAAATTGACCAAGCAAATGATATTGGAACAGGTTCCGAACATTCCAGCCCTGCCAAGTTTCAACCATATAGTTTAAAACGACCCAGATCAACCTCTGAAGTTAGTGTAGATGCTGATGATGATGAGGAAAGACCAAGAAAATCTAGAAGAAAGTCTTCTAAGGATTTATCTATCTTGACAGCTGTGTCCGAGCAGAAATACCTGAGCCCTGAAACAGAGAGCAACAATGATTCTATGGCACATAAAAAATTATTATCAGCTAAAAAACGTTTGATTATTGAAACCGATTCAGAAGATGATCCTTGGTATGGAAACACAAACCAAAATCAAAATGATGAAGCACCAAATACAGAAGATTCCCAAGCAGAAACAGAAAACAGTGAGTTTGTATGTTTTGAAAGTCAAGGTGAATCTTTTATAGAAAGTCATAACACAGAAGTACAAGGGGTCAGTCGTCAAGGTCAGGATACAGAAGGTCAAGGTCAAATTACAGAAGAGGAAGGAGAAGAGGCAAATGTTTCTGTCCGCAAATTGAAAAGTAGGACATCGAAAACATTGAATGCCAGAAGTAGAAAGAAAACAGGAAGACGTGGTAGAAAACCAGCTAACTATGAACCAGCAGAAGTAGAAGATGGGGATAGCCAGGCACCAGAGAAATGTTTAAACTGTGAGAAGCAATTCCTAGGTCTAGCAGCACTCAAGAAGCACATGATGTCAGATCACACTAAAGTGGTAGGTCAATGATTTGTAAAGTATGTTTTTGCTGCAGAAGCTGAATGAAGCTTAAAAGTCTTGTAAATTTGGAGAGCTCCTGCAAGGCTCTTTATCAACTGACTATACCCAACTGCCACCGTTTGAAAAAGCTGATTGATTAAACAATGAATAATTCCCTGGTATTATATAAATCAATCTTATTTAGCCCATTTACAAAGAGTGATAATGTCTCTTTAATTATCAAACTATTGTTATAAGATTTATTTGAAAGAACTCTGTTTACATTACAGTGGAGTAGAGTGTGTCCTGAAGGAAAAGATGACCAACCTTCGCTGAGAAAAATATTAAAGGCAACTGGAAGTTTAACATGTCAAGGTTGTGGAAAATTGTTAAAATTTATTCCATATTATCATTTTCATCTCAAATGGTGTGGAAGAGAGGTCAGTATACTAGAATTTATTGAAGAATATAAATTGTCCCAGTTTCAGTATTTATGAAAAAAAATTCTTTAAGTATAATAAGATATTTATAGTTCTACCAACAGTATCCAGATTTGAGATATTGATGTTTTTGTTTCAGAATGAACAAGAACAATGTAATTTATGTGGAAAGTTTGTAAAATCAATGTGGATGTCACAACATGAACGTGATCACCGATTGAAGGAAGAGAAATTAGAAATGTTAAAAAGACAGAAAGCTAAACCGGTTGCTCCACCTGTAGAGGGAAAACGTAAAGCAGCTATTAGGTATGTTGTCAACTATATCAAGACTGATTTGATCTTATTTCGTAATTTGAAGTAATTCAGATTACTTGAATGTTTGAATTTTTGGCATTATATTGATAAAAGGGAATGAGCATGTTGTTTGTTCGTTCCTCATATTGAGTTTTACCTAAAAGCTGTCCTGGAATCTGTTATTTATATTTCAGATATAGAGGATATTTGTCGTTTTAGAGTGAATAACATATTTTATTTCATCGAGAAGCAAGAAAACTTATATTTTCACGAATGCGTAGCATGAGTGAAAATATAAACGTTTTCTTGCTTAGAGATGAAATAAAATATGTTTTCACTCTAAAACGACAAATGTTCTATTTATTTTATGATTTTACAATCATTTTAGGTAAAAACAACTAGCCAGTGGAATAACACTTTTATTTCACTGATAAAACGCGGTATTCCACTACTGATCATAAAATAAATTGTTTTATTTGTATTCACAACATTAGGATTAACCATGGAGCAAAATAAGAAAATGTTAAGGCATCAAGGAAAAGGGGGCACCACAGAGTTTTTTTTTACCAATGATTAATTTGGTGCAAATGATGCAGCTGAACAAGAACCCACAAAAGTTTAGCATTGTTTCATTATTTTTAATATGGGGGCACCATAATCTTGTCAGTGCTTAACGCCTCTAAAGGTCTTAATCTGGCACTGATTTATGACATTAGGATGTAAGGGATTAGATGAGCTTTATCAGAGGTACCTGGTGATATCATTCAGTTATTTGGGAAAGTCACATAGTTAACTAACTTGTCTATGTTTATTGTATGGTCTTCACTTTCAGAGCAAGAACCACAATGCACTGTATGGTAAAAGAACTATTAAAGGGAGAAGCTCCATCATCTTCACAGGTTGGGGATAAAGTAAAAGTAGGTGATGGAGAGGAAGGTGGGGATGGTGATGAAGATGGGGATTATAGCCATGGTGAGGAGGAAAGTATGTCTGAATCTGAGTCCTGCTCTTCTGGAGTTGATGAAGGTATGTACCTGTTGGGCTTTCCAAACCAAATGAAGGGGACATGCCATGCTTTCCTCATGAATCAACATCCCTGAATATAACATACAAAAAATAATTAAGTAGAGCTATAGATAGCAAGAAAATATATTTTGTATATCAAAATCCAAACAAATGTGGAATGTCATTAGTCTGTAGAATGTGAACAAATGGAATTCACTAATTACATACTTTCCTGTCAGTACATGTATGTGAACATCAAGAATAAGAGAAAAAATCTAACAAACACTTTGCTCACTCCTGACTTGACTAGGAGTTGATTTGGAGAATAAAGACTTTGTCATGAACACTGCAGGATGTTTAAAAGTCACTATAATCATTTTTATATTCTGTTTCAATTTTCTGACTGGATAATGATAAATATTAAGATTTTGGGAGTGTATGGTTTCTAACCCACTCATATATGATGTCTTAGTACAGCAATTTTTGAGTGGACATTTATCAAAGGGAATAGTCAAAACTCCCAGGAACACTGGTCAGGAAATAGTTCTTGCATACTTGTTATCAAGATTAAGTTGGCCATTAGCTTTTGGACAATAAGTTTTATGGGTATTCTTACTGAATCTCTAATTAAAAACAAATTGTCAATTTATTTATTTTATTTTTTTTTGAAGACCCTCTGTACTTTAGATCAACATATCAATATAGTAACAGAAAGTTCACCGGAGAAACAGCCTTACCTACAGACAATGATAAATTTGATGATGTACTTACATGGTATCAAACTCATCCAAGGGCTGATGATTTACATCCCGGTTTAGTTCCTACTCGTGAAGATTGGATACAATTAAATGAAGAGTAAGTGAAATGATCAAGAATCTTTTCTTTATCACAGTTGCTTGCCTATGTTTAAACATCAATCCCATCTGCACATAATTATTTAATAAGCCGGCTACAATCTGATTGGTCAGTTCTTTGAAACACAAAATAACTGTACTTGTAGTTGCTTTTGATTGGACCTTAATTATAAATCTCATGTATAAATATTAACATCAATGCCATCTGTACATATTTAATTGACATGCTACAGTCTGATTGGTTAGTACTGTACTTCTTGTGATGTAAATAATGAATGTATCTTCATAGTAACTAAACTATGAATGTTACAGTCTATCACCTAAGTCCAGACTTTAATGTGATCCTACTACTATTTAATTAACCTACTGCAATCTGTTTGGTATTTTTAATGTTGCTTTCACTGTAATCTCTCATACCTGTTATAGTCGAATCAGTGTAATTTTACTGTTTTGACCCCTAGAAGAAAAGTCAATAAAATAAAACCAAGTACGAACAATCCAAACCATTAGACAAAATTCGAAGTCCTAAAAAAACGGTATAGGCAAAACGGTATAGAAATTGGTTTGTAAAAGACAGAAGGATGTTTAGAAGACAACTAAAGGATCAGTTAATGTTTGTACCCCACCACCTCTATAATGTTAACATGTTTGAAGACTAATGGACACAGCTCTTGCTGCTCTAATTGTGAAAACAAATCTATTAAGTATAGAATCACGAAAACACATTGTCCCTTCTTATTATTTGTTTATTGGTAGATACATACAGGAAATATATGATGTTTATTTCACAGATTAATAAAGAACTACTTCGCTAGAAATGGAGATAGTCATGAATTTGTTATAAAACAGATGAAGGTTAACTGTAAAACATCGATCACATCTACACCACAGACATTACACATCTTCCAGTCTTTTACAACTAAAGGTAATTAAAAGGAAATAAATATGAGAATGTGTTAAGTGAAATTTTATTTTTCTGTGGTGAATTTAAACTATTGTCACCAAGTCTGTTTTTTTAATCTTCACGTGAAAATGATAATGTTAACCTAGTTTAATTATTGGTTTGAGATATTAAAAAAATAATGGTAGCTTAAATGTTTAGCATCCAGTTCTGGCATTCATTTTCCCAACTACATGTCATTACCCCAGCTTTCAGAGGTTAAATAACCCTTGACAGTTAGAATTTTGTGATAAACTGTAGGCTGAAATGCCCCTGTCTGGGCAAAATTTACCTCATAGCACACTGCATGACATGCCCGTCTTCATTAGCCTGGTTGGTGCTAAAAAGTAAGACATTAAACTGCATTTCATTTCACTGAATCTGGTCTCTCATTACAAATTTTACAAGGCTAATTTTCTTACTTCACTTGACCTTTGCTGGACAATTTGTATCTCAAATGATTATGCTCCAATTACAAAATGCCAATCAAAGAATATATCTCAAATGCAGTTTAAAATTTTCATATTTTTACAGACCAAGTTACCTCATACTGTGGTGCTACAATTACTGCTGTAGAGTGGTGTCCCTTGCCCATATTTGAATCAGCCAATCAATATGCAGCAGTGGTGTGTAACATGACTTCAGATCAGCCAATCAAAGTAACAGGGGAACCAAGCGGTCAAAGTGTTGTGCAGATTTGGAAGTTTGGAGATTTAAACCCATTAAGGTATTTTATTTGTATCTTTGATAACTGAATCTTTTTTCCCATATTCACTAAATGTATATGTTAGAATGAAAAAAAGTTTTACGACTGTGGGATGGCAAACGACATTGGCACCATTTGCATTTCCTTGATTATTGAAAACAATTTAGAAAAACAGTAGGATACTTAGTGGACGTGTTATGAATATACTGATTACTTTGAATGAGTCAGCAAAAGTATGACTGACACACTAATTAGAGAGAGAGAGAGAAGTGGGGTTTAACGTCCACTCGACACAAACTAGGTCATTTTGGGACTAACATATGATTTAATTTTATTTCAATAATTAGCTTGCGCGTAGGGGTCTTTAGCAGTGGGAGGAAACCGGAGGACCCGGAGAAAACCCACAAGGTTGGACAGGCGACCCTACTCCTTGCCACGTACAACCAGGGATTCGAAACCATGCCAGTTGACTCAATGACAGACTTTATGATACGTACAGTGCGCGCACGCTAACCATTCAGCCATCCAACCCCCCTGACACACTAATTAACTTCTATATCAACTTAGTCCCAAAATGACCTAGTTTGTGTCAGTGGACAATAAATCACATTTCTCTCTATATATCAACTCTTTGTGATTGAGCCAAAAGCAAATTTATTTATGATGCCATTATTTTATCACTCAGCTTATTCAGAGATCTGTAGCCAATGGAAAACAAACAATTAAGAGCCATGCTACAATTTTTCTCAGAGTTACTGCCCCTATCACAGAAACCATTTATCCACTTTGTCACAATTTTTTTTCAAATTTGTTTGGATTGTTTGGCTAGTTCTAAGTTAGACTGTTTTCCAGAGTTATAGCCCCTGTCACCTTAACATTAATTTAGATTTATTTTAATTTGAGATATTTTTTAAGAACTTTATCAACTAAGCATACCATCGAAATCAGATTTGCTAATTAATTTTATACATAGTTAATGCTCCTGACCACAGAAACTAGAATGTCACCCATCAAAATGCTGCTGGTGGGGTATATTTGTTGCATGGCAATATTATGTTTATTCGATTCACTTACTTCCAGTAAAACAATGCCAGAGCCTGTATTATGTTATATAATGTTACATGATGGTGGATGTGTTACATCTATTAGTTGGTGTCCACAGGGGGCATGGCAACATCCTGATAAAACAGTACAACAGGTATGATCTTAATTCTATTCATTGCTTGTTAACTTGTATATTTTTTTAGCAATGGCTGGGGTGTTATGATGCATATCAATGTTATGTCTTTAACCTAAAATGTCCATGCTATTTATTGTCTTTGATAAGGCTTTGACTCGAACTACCCTAGATTTGGATAACCTGTGGCTTTTATGTAATTTTACTCATTGAATCGATGCATCGAGATTCACCTTCTCTTGATTCTCTTGATTTGTGTATTGAATTGCAAGACGCTAAATCAATTATTTACAATGTTTTATTATGTTTTTTTGTCACTTCAGTAAGTAACCTGTCACTCTTAATTATACCTGTCACACATTATCCATAGGTACACAAACAATCTTAAATTGTTTTGGTCCTTATTTTGATCCACATCTTTATTTCTACGACATCAGCAGAACTAAAAATATCAATTATTCATTTATCCTGTTGTTTTCTTGGTAAATGTTGACCTGGTTATGAATCGTATTATAACAACTGAATCGCAATATGTATCGTATCGTGACTGCAGTGGTATTACCCAGCACTACATTACAGAAGTTATTAAGCTGATTAAATCAGGTATTCTCAAGAGCACCCACTCAATTAAGATATGTTTACTCGTGGCTTGGGTGATAAATCATGCATTAATACGGGAATGGCCCAGACACCTTATTTCTAACTGTGTGTTCAACTAATGATATTCTACAATCACTTTTAATGTGCTGGAACAAGAACAACAGGATGAAATAATCTCATAAATAAAAAACTAATGTTTAAATGATGTATGTTTCAGAATGTTGTGCCTAGGTTAGGTCTATTAGCTGTTTCTAGTTTAGATGGACATGTCCGAGTTTACAGGTAGGTATGTCATTGAGATTGAAAAAAAAAGGAATTAAGCAAGCAAGCAACATGCTTGGACAAACTTTCCTTACTAGATCCACAGGCTTTAACCCTGGTAAGCCTGAGATTTAATGAAACCCAAGTCCATTGCCCCGACTGCTTGACTAACATGGACCTGATATAGAATTTGGTCCTACTGTACCGAAATTATCCTTTTTACCCAAAATTTGATTCTTCAGGTGAGATATTTCTGTATCTCTTTGTACGGTGTTTGATTTTTTTATTACAGTATACCTCATCCTGACAGATTTGCTCCAAATTCTAACTTCACCAATCCAATACTGTTTAAACCAAAACCTTGTCTAATATTGAAGAATGTAAAACAATCAGGTAAAAACAAATATTTGCATTTCTATTGGAAATCAGTGAAAATAACAATTTCTTGACACATTTTCTCCATTTCAGTCTGATGCAGTTAAACATGCTCTTGTGGTCACTATCAGATCAACCCAAGAGAATTTCATTAAAATTGAACAGTTACCTACTCAAAACAGTTATTTGCCGTATGGAAAATGTGTCTTCACTTTCTATTGTGAGGAAAGAACAGGGTTCATTGTTCATTGTTCAGTTGCTGCCTGGGCAAAATCCCCCTCACTATATTTTATGCATATACTTAGAAGAACATTATCTTGGTTGCTCTGCAGTAGATCAGTGAAGTATTTATGAGATAGATGTTAAACCCTATTCATTTCATTTAGTTATTTTCATTAGTTTCAAGATCAACTGAGACAGTAAAACTCTCCTTCCTTGCAATTATGTTAGTTTTTGTACTGACTTCAATGAGGTACCAGTATATTTTTATTTAAAATGTTTTATAGATAGTGGAGGGTGTTTGGTGGTTTCCTGGCAACCAACTGGCGTATCTAATCTAATTATGGCAGGTTATGCCAAAGGTTAGTATATGTTAAATACTCATTTGGCATTTCCGCAAATTCTCATTGCAACATTTCTAAACACATACAGACTGGTTCATTTAACACATTTGCTGTCTTATTGGTGTCTACAGCTGATAGCGTGTGCAGAATTTTTATGTTGTCTCTTTTATCCATCTGAAATAAACAATTTACATTTTCAACTTTCAAAACCGCTCATGTGGTTCGACCAAATTTCATATGTAGGTAGCAGTGTACAGGGCAGCTGAATTAAAATTCAAACTTGACATGGTATTATAATAGTGTGTGAACTCGACCAATGATTTAATGAATTACAGTCACATGATGTTACATTTTAATATGACTCTTCTTATTTCCAGATAGCTTTTTAATAATGATTTAAATATTAATGCTACAAATAAAGTCTGTGATATTAAAAAGTATGTATTTGTAATTAAGAATGAAATCCTTTTATTCAGGTTTAGTAAGAATTTGGAACATGTCATCTACTTCACCACTTCTGGTTTCGGAAACTGGTTCTGGTGTGAAAATGATTCATCCAATCAGATCATTCCTTGCTCACAGTCGACGAATAAGATGTCTTGAATGGCACCAGAAGTTTGAGTCTGTTTTTGTAACCAGTAGTGATGATAAGAGGTTAAAATTTTGGCACTTGGAAAACCTCTTCCAGGAACACGACAATGTGCCAGTATTTACTCCAGTGACTTGTATAAAATGGCCGCTGAATGAAACTGGTGTTGTTTATGGAAAAGACCATATATTCTTGTAAGTAAATGTACAATATAATTTAACCCATTTTTGCAAACAGCGAATCAGTACGCCCACTGTCATTAGATGGTAGTGAATCAACTCGCCGACCAATCATACCGGGCATCAGCATTAGCGAACAAAAGCACCATATCAATCAACTGATTTCTATTGTTTTTATTTCTTAAATAAATGGTGATTGAGTGATAAAAATAAAACACCCAATGAAAAGGAATGTTATATTCACTAATCATCCAATAAAAAACATACATTTCAACAAAGGATCTTCTGGTATTTACATAATAGGTCAGAGGTGAAAATTCACACCGTAATAGATCAGAGGTGTCTATGACTTTGGCATTATTCCAATATTTTCACGATGTCACTTATGGCTAATAATTTTATGATATGGAAAGTGAAATGGAACCCGATTTGTTATGATTTACTGCCAGTCATATCGTGGAATATGATAATAAACTATTTATTTATTTTTTTACGTTATGATGCGAAGTATAAGTATACTCCAGCCGAGATCAAGCGTGTCGACTGCCATCTTGGACATGCTTTCAGATAGACGATACCACAAAACTTACGGTGAATAATTCTAGACTTTGGAAAACTAAATTGAATCAAAACTGTTAGGATTTAATACAGGCTACATAGAGGAATATTATATTGTCGAAGATTTAAACTATATATTTTTATTTTCGACACAATGAAGCAAAGAAGACGACAAGTCCCGCCAAATATCCAATGTGACCAAAGGCAGAAATGCCGATAGCGATGAAGTGACGGTCATATGGAGCGATATTTCTTGTTAAAAGTTATATTTACTTTGAACACTGCTGCTAACATGAGGGGCTATATTTGTGTTCTATTTTAAAACAAACAAAAATTCTTAGGGGTTATTTGTTCACGTTATTTTACCATAATGACAGAGAAAAGTCATAATTTTAGTGGAACTGACTTTTCAATATTATTTATAGTAATAATATAATTGCTGCTTTATACAATTCAATTTTAAATGATTTGGTAAGAACAAGACAATCTGTACATTTTTGTAACAGAGTATTTCTTTGTATAGAAAATATTTTTTTAGTTATTTGCAATTTTGTAGAGGCTATTAGGATTAACAGCCCTGCTGATTTAATGAGCTCTAGGGATAGGGTAGCTAATCTGTTAATTGTCTCTAGTGTTAAATGGGTTAATATCCAAATTACACTGCAAAATGTCAAGTAATCAGTCTATTTCATTTCATTTCTTTGTATTTTACAGGTTAGATAAATGTTCAACAGGATATCAAGATTGTGGATTAAGGCCAACAAATATTAAATACACTCCAACTAACCATATTGGTTCTATTTGGGTATTATTTTATATTATTTAGTGTGACATTTTACAGAACAGAAATGTGTATTAATATTAATTTAGCTGGCATTAGGGCATTAGGTCACTTTTCATTTATTAATATCCTTCTCACATTAAAGCCCTGAGATGTCAGAATTATAGGTTAAATATAGGGGGTGCTCGTTGTCAGAATTGCAATCAAGTGATATGGAATTCAGCCCTGTCATAGTTCTGCCAGTCCCAACAGCTGAGGTGGTGTAAGTAGAATCATGATGTATTTTAAGTAACAAATATATTTCAGCTGTCATAATTGGTTGAGATATTTTTTATGCAGTCGTCTCATACGTTGTACTCCGAAATTTTCCTTTTCACTCGATTTCACTATTTTTGGAATTAAGATAATTTAATTCCGGAACATTCAGTCAAGTATCCCAAAAGAGTTTAAGATGATACACACACTGCTAAAGTCCCCTAGGCGCAAGGTAGTTATTGAAATTTCTATACAATTACTGCTTATAACTGAGTGACGTTTCGAATAGGCTTCTTAAGTCATTATCAAACAATGGTAAATTGTAAAATACAAGACAATATATCCATATAAAAAAAGAATGCTTGGTTAATGCTGACCAACCAGCGACACCCTTCTAATTACCTTGAAGGAAACCTAACTTATTTGATGAGTAGGCTCTTGGGTACTATACTAGCATCCCTGCATCACATATATACATTCTGTCTTTCATATTTGATTGATGAGTTTGACTGCCACATCTCCATACTGATGTCTGATAAATTGTTTCAATGGCATTTAGTAATTGAACTGGATTATACTGGTTGTATTCCATAGAATTGTGATCTGTATATTCCAGTTCAATTACTAAATACCATCGAAACAATGTTAGTCCCGGAGTTTATAGTCAAATCTCAGATGTGCTTGATTTAATAGTAATTTTATTATTTACCAGTACAATGTCTGACGTCTGTATGTTGTGTCTTATCTGTGGGTTTGTCATCTGGATTTCTGTTTGTTCATGTGTGGTGTGTTTCTCTCCAGCACTTACTATAATATATACAGTCTTTACATTCAATTAGTATCCTACGCCTACATATTTTTGAATTTTGATATAGTTGTGAAAAATCTGGCTTGTCATTAATTTCAGGTTCTGTAGTCTTTGCATTAAAAAAATAAATCTGCAAAAAACTAAGTTTATTTGGCCTTATCATTTAATCATGTGGTTGAAAGAATTTTAAATTGAGTTAATCTAGAAATACCCATAATCCTTTTGATTTCCTGTTTGTATATTATAGGATATAGATTTTATAGATTGGTATAATATTCTACTGGCGTGTGATACTACTGGTACATTACGTGGAGCGAGGTTACGTGACATGTCATCAGACGATATAAATCTACATGCAGTAGCTCACAGGGAATTTGTAAGTTAAATAACAATAAACTCTTTGGATATTTCATGCAAATATGTTTATCTCATAATAACATTGTGTTGATGAGAAATTAAAGGGGCATTAGGTAAAATTATATAAAGAGCTGACAGTTCTTGCTATAATAGTTTTAAAAAATAGACAACGTAAATAGAATATGCTGAAAACTTCAGTCAAATTGCTTCACTCTGAACCAAGATATTAGCCATTGTAATTTAGGCTAGTCTCGGTCGTCATTACTGACGTTGGTAAGTCTTGATTATCCATTTTTACGTTAAATTATCCATCACAAATTGCATTCAAATCCAGTAAATATCGCAGGCTAGTGATGACATCAAGAGTTGATTATGGTCTGGATAAGTTAATTAATGTCCAATTAATAATTTAGATAACATTTCAGGCCCAAAGAAAGACCTGCAATAGGCAGATTTAGCTAGCTCTTGCATAATGCTTAACTTTATAACAATATTGCTACTTTGTCATGAGTCATAAAGTAAGATTTGTTCTTTCAGCCGATTTATTCTACTGATATCAAAGCAAGAAGACCAACTGAAACTATTGAACCAGATGAAAATTGTGATTATGTGACAGATAATAACCAATCAATTACATCTAATGAGAATCATGTGACTAATAACAACCAATCATATGCAATAAATTTGGATCATGTGACTGACGGTAACCAATTAAGTGCAATTAATATGGATAATAGCCAATCAAATACAAAGAATTTAGATCAAAATACTGAAAATAACCAATCAAGTGCAATTAATACTAGTCATGAGAACGATGATAACCAGTCAACAACAGTGAATAACGTACAAAATAAAATTAAGAAGAAAAAGAAGAAGAAATTGGATGAAGTTTATAACTATAATAATTTTTGTGAATCACAGAAGAAATGTTGTTTAATATTTACAGATAATCCACGGGTAGGTACATGTATTTTGATAATTATGGCACTAAATGCTGGATTTCTTTTTTCTGTGCAGTGTTAAAACAAGGGTTTGTGAAACATGTCAACCACATGTGTGTCAGATTACAGAGTTTTAGTGATAATTGAAATAGGCATAACAATGTAGTTGATTTTACAGTCGTGGCCAAAAGAATAGGACCATGCTTGAAAATGGTTGGATTTCTTACATGTAAATTCATTTGATCATATATCTGCCACCTGAGGACTGATTTTCACAAATGAGGTATCAATGGATAGGTTATGTGAAGTATGTTCATTACGCATGCACATGCATGTTTGAATGATGATGTCATCACGACTGTATATAGTATTATGTTCAAAATAAGCATTGATTTACTTAGTAGTCTAAGATACAGGGGTTGGATGGCCAAATGGTTAGCACATGCACGCTGTATCATAAGGTCTGTCATTGAGTCAACTAGTGTGGTTTCGATTCCCCGGTTGTACGTGACAAGGAGTAGGGTCGTCTGTCCAACCTCGTGGGTTTTCTCTGCGTCCTCGGTTTCCTCCCACTACGCGGAAGCGAATTATTGAAATAAAATTGAACAATCTGTTAGACCCGAAATGACCAAGTTTGTGTTGAGGGGACAGGTTAAACCCCATTTCTCTCTCTCTCTCTAAGATACATGTACATGTCTATTTTGAAGCAAAGTATTGAAAACCACTGCTATGTACAGCTCTTACTGAATTTTAAAACATATACATCTCATTGAGAGGTTGATAACTGTGTAGTGCAATTGCAGCAAATTGAAAATTATTTATTTAGCTGTCAGTCAGAATCTCCAAAGTGCTGATGCATCTTTAAAAATGTCACTGCAATCGGTTAACAAGAAAGCAAACATTTTGATTGGCCAGTACAGTGAAAGCAGTACCTTCAACAGATGCAAAAACTATGCCTTAGGAAAACACTGCATGGAGCAAACAGCATGCTAAGTAATGACACCAGTTATGCTCTCACTATATCTAGAGCTTGTTATGTTTAGTCCTCTCAGTTTTATATCTATTACTAATCATCTTCTCTCCTTTTCTTTTTTATATCTTTCCATTGTTTATTGTCTATCAATAGCAGGAAAATTTACAGGTTTGAATATATCTAGATTATATAAATAATGTCTATATCGTTTTTTCTATACTTTTGATGGCCTCTACTACATGAAGATCTGACCAGTTGTAGTGGGAGGTCGTGTCAGGTGTCCTACGAGCAGCCTTTGACCTATGACCTCAAATAGTTGACTAACCAATCAGTATTGATGTTTCTAGTAGGATTCCAACAGTATCATGCATAGCACGCCAATAACCCGTTGCAACAGACCGTTTCATTGGCCAATCCCTCACATCAACCAGAACGTGGATTACATCACAACTCTTCCAGATCCTAGTGTATTAAGGACAAGTAATACGAAATTTTCTTGTCAGATATCTTCTCACTGTCTCATATAACAAGTTTTCGTCTTCGAAAACACTGAGCTGAAATTCGACCATGTATCTGTTATCGTTCGTTACGTCAGTTATATATACGGGCAACTCGTGTTTTCCATTTTTGGGGTAACTTCCCGTTTCTTCAAATCTTCATTACGCATCTATCGTAGCCATGATCTCTGTGTTGAAATTATATTTGGAATTTTTTTAACCAGTTCTTTCATAATGGCTGATACCAACATTGTCCTTTAATAGTACATTATTGCTGGCACGATGTATCATCAAATCGATGTATCACAATTCACCTTTGCACAATGCGCTGTATCGAATCATAAGGTGTAAATCGTGATACTTGACACGTCTGTTTTATGATGAATTATTCTATATATTTTACAGTTTTCTGGTACAAAACAACATACACTTCACTGAAAAACTCACATGAACAAAATATTCAATTTCTACTTACATTAAATTACAAACATTAAGGTATTCAGTATCTAAGTTAGGTTTCTTGTTAAATTTATAACTAACACATGTATTGTGACTGTAGTCGCAATACCCAGCCCTAATATATTGGGGGGTTTGGATGGCCGAATGGTTAGCAAGCGCGCGCTGTATCATAAGGCCTGTCATTGAGTCAACTGACATGGTTTTGAATCATTGGTTGTATGTGACAAGGAGTAGGGTTGCCTGTCCAACCTCGTGGGTTTTCTCCGGGTCCTCCAGTTTTCTCACACTGCTAAAGACCCCTACGCACAAGCGAATTATTGAAATAAAATTAAAACCATATGATAGTCCCGAAATGACCTAGTCTGTGTCGAGTGGACGTTAAACTCCATTTCTGTCTCTCTCCTAATATATTAGAGAACATAATGATAGGTAGTATTATACAAGTTTTTTCGCTCCTATATTTTCAGTCTGATATTTTGGCTGGTCGGAAGAAGAAAACAGGCTTACTGGTGGATTGCAAAAGACTAGCTTGTTATCCAATAGAATCTCTTCGTGCTGTGAGTATTGCTTTTTTGTTATCTTCATTCATTGGTTAAATAATTCCATCTTTTCCTTCACAATATTTAATTATAAAATTACACATACCTCAGCACAGAAAGTTCTAGATATAGGTAAATTATGCCAAAATTTGTGTTGCGACTTTTGTCAATTTTTCTGATAGCTCTATATTAATGACATAGTACAGACATATTATTAGAAGAGTAGCTGTAAGTAGTGATGGTTTCATGTATGAGGTAGGGTATGCTCCCTTTTCCCACCCGGTTGTTGCAGGAAAGAAGGCCGTTATGCTCCATTTCCTTTTATTTACATAATTTAAATTATCTGTGTATATTTACAGGTATCGGCCAATAAGAATGTATTTGGTTCAACATGGATATTATCTGGTGGTGAAGCTGGGTTGCTACGACTACATAATTTACCAGGAATCATGACCAAACCTGCTAAATCTTATTTTACACAGATAACACCAAAAGAATCTTGATAGTGTGGACTTATTTAAAATCGCATTGTGCCAAATTCATACGGGTATATTACAGTAACATCAGTATAGAGTAATAAAGATATCTAGCTGAAGAATAATGTCCTTATATTTAGCTCCTACGATGTTATACCCATGTTATCTTTATTTATCTAAGAATGTTGGTTTTTAGTTCCACATCTTTAAGTTTTAATAGAAATTGATTTATTTAAAACCAGCAACATTTACATTTAGAATTTTGATGAAAGGATTGGTGTAAAATTATTAGTAGTTTTGTGTAAATCATGCTTCTAGGTATCAGGGTTGAAAACCAGTCCTTTGCAATTTTTCAATCCCATTTCTAACATGGACTTATATGCCTCCTAGTTTGATAGTGTATCCATTCCTCATACCATCTTGTTTATTTCATTTGTTAATTGTTTTAAAGAAATATTGTTTTAAATGAAGTTGTAAGGATTTGTATGAAATCTTTTAAGTAAATTTATTATTATTGTTTAATGATGTATATATTTTAAGTAAAATATAAATCATTTGTTAACTAAATCACACTCTACTTTAAATAAATTATTTTTGATATATTATGTATGGATTCTATTTTATCACCCAATAATACATTCTATATCTCATAATCTACTGCAATATCTCCTTAGGGGATATCGCTTTACATGAGTTTGATTGGTCAGTTGAAAAGGAACTACTTTTTTTTTTATTTTAAAAAAAACAGTTCATTTCTTATTAAAAGTAACTTTTTTGTTTTATTAAAAATGAACTATTATTATTCAATTGACCTTGATGGAAACACTGGGTCAATATAAAGGACTTCAATGGTTGAATTGCTGTCAAAAAATGATATATCACTACCCCGTAATGTTCAGTATAAGTGAAATCTACAGCAAAGAATTATATTTATCTATTTGTGCATGTAAGAAGGGATTGGGTGATAAATAAAATCTCCTACTCGTCTTTTTTGGTATCAAAAAATATCAACACTCTTTGATAAAGTAAAAAAAAACTCAGCAGAGCCTTGTTTTTTGTTACTTTATCAACTTGTGTTGATATTTTTTGATATCAAAAAGGACTGGTAGGAGACTCTCTATATATTTGGAAATACACTAGTGTTTTACTGAACTTAAGATCCATTAATGTTTTTGATGGATGTATGGCACATAATATGAAAGTATAGTCTTTTTACAAAAACTTGAAAATGTGGTTCACATCATTTGTGTGTGTGTGGGAGTGTCCAGTTGTAAAAATACATATGAAATTGCTCCGGAAACATTACAGAAATGAAATGGAGATCAACACGATACAGTTCAAATTTGTAGTCATGTGTGCACTGCTAGAATGGAGAATTTTGCAGCATCTTCCACAGAATACCAGCAATCAAGGGTTCTTTTACACTTTGACCTCGGTAACAGTTGACTCGCCTGTACTGCAGGCATTATCACTGTCAAGTGGAGGCCAGGCATCTTCTCGGATGGCAGAACGCAACCCCAGAATCACTCAACAAATGTGTCCCCCACCCCCTCTCAATCTGGAATAGCTTCCCATCATAAAATGAACTAGCAGATGTGTCTAACATTGAAATAAATTTCAGTCAACAAAATTGTGACCTGTACAAAAAGACTAATTGACATTTCAAATATTTAATGCTTGATTATCACAGAAGACTTTAAATAGAAAAAAAAACAACAATAAATATACATAATATGATCATGCTACATGGTCGAAAAACACAATTACACGAAATTATTAGCACAGACAATCACTTTGGTAATCTCAATTCATTTTTTTCTAATCAATTTTTCAAGAAACAATCATCATTCTACTTTTTAATTAATAACAAAACAATATGTATTGAACTTTCATTTAAGACATTAATGATGCATGGTCGTGATATTGAATGGTTTAGAACACCCATGCCATTTACTAATTCAATGTTAAAATGGATAATCAAGACTTTGTTTATTATCATAGCAATGATTCTTGACAATCAAAATTATCTTGTCAAAATTTCAAACACCTATAACTTCACTCAGAATAATTTAATTTGACTGAAATTTTGAATATATTAATTTTTCATTTCATAGAAGAACCTCCAGTTCTTTATTGAAATCTTACATAACACATCCTTAATATAATAATGTCCATCAATAAAATATCAAACTGATCTTTTGCTAAATATAATTTGGATCAATTTATGTAACAGATCAATCAAACTTATATCCTTATTATTTTATAGAAAATAATAAAAATTGACCTTAGGAAATATATAACAGCAATTACAAGACAATAACTTTATATCAAATTCTGTAATGAACTGATCAATGATTGTACTAAAACTTTGATTGAAATTTATAATGAAATAATTTACATGTGAACTCGGAATAACTTAAATAATTATGTCAGTGTCTGAAAATCATACATTTTCACAGTCCCAGATCTCAAAATTAAATGTTGATTCAGGAGTCAGTCTAATGAGGTTAAAACTTGTATACTGGTACTATGTCAGTACTTTATACACTTACATCATGAAAACTAAATAATACTTTTATCCATTTAGCCATTATTTATTTTGTCTTCTTCTTCTTTTTGGCCACTCGTCTTTTTGTTTTTGAGTCAATGATAAACTGTGATTGCTTTTTGATAGACGATCGATTAGGAACGCCAAAGTCATCGTCTCCACTGTCTTCTTCATCGTCATATACCAAATCTCTCTGCGTTTGGGGTAATTTTATACGTGTGTTGAAGGTCGGTAGTTTTTCATTATTCACTCTGAATTCTTCTTCCTCCATTTGTTTCATAACGTCACTGAGATCGTTACCACTGGCATCAAGTTCTTCCACCACTTTCAACAACTTTTCTTCACTGGTTGATAACTGATCGAGAACATATTCATCCGAAGATGGCTGAATCTGTGCTGTTGGAACATGACCCTTGTTAGCCTTTAAGTGATGTAATTTATCTGCTAGATGTTCAACGCCTGCTTTAACTGATACAAGAATTTTACTGGAACGTTGTAATTTCTCATCAGCTTCGTCGCGTCTGCCTTCCTCTTTTTGTAAATGTGTTTCGTATTGCTCCAACATCATTTCTCCACTTGATAATTTCGCTTCTCCAGAATATTTCATTTCGGCGAATTCTTCTTGTAACTTTTCTTTGTCTTCCTTCAGTCTTGAAATCTGTTTTTCATTGTCTTTTTTCAAGTCTTCCAAGTGTCGGGTTGTGTCGTCCTGGTTTTCGAATCGGCGTACGACTTCCATAGTGTCGGACACTCCTGTAGCTTCCTTTATTCGACGGAAAGCTTCTTCATACGTTGTAATTCTCTGCTGCTGTTCCTCACCTAAAAATAAACAAAAAAGATTGATATTTTGCATCTAGATTACAAAAGCTTTGGTTTCGCACTTTATTTAAGAACTTTTGCACTGGTTGTCATAAAGATAAGGTCTTGGTCCTGATGGTCCCCACCACTTTTAATTACTTTCATTTAGGTTAAAATAAAGCATGGAGTTGTGTTATTCTGATTAGTGGTAAGACAAGCTTTGAATAGCTAACATTTCATTTGGAAGGATTTATGTTTCATTTTTTATGGAACATGTACTAAAAATTTCAATTGATTATATCTCAGCATGGAATTTAACTACTGACCTAAATTTGAATGAGGATACTGCCATACAAATCAAAGGACAAATTTTATTCTTAACCCAAATCAGAGAGAAGTAGAGGTCAAAACCATAACACTCAACACAAAATATGGTACAATGAATATTAATTTCAATAATTTGTTTTCAGGGTTTTTTAGCAGTGGGAGGAAACTAGAGAACCAGGAGAAAATCTACCAGGTTAAGGACTCTTCTAATAATCACATACAATTACAAGCATGGGGTCAAAACCATAACACTTGAATCAATGATAAACCTGATAATCTGAAGCAGATCCATTAGGCTACTGCCCCCCCCCCCCCACCAAAAAAAACAACAATCGACCGAGGGGGGGGGGGGGCATTTTAGAAAAGCTATGTTGCTGTTTGGGATTCATTGTAGGGGAATTCTCCAGTTGGTAAAAGAAATGCCTGATAACATCAGGATTCAACTTAAAGAGTTATGGATCATCGTCTGAGGGGTTTTCTTACAGGAACGAACTTTCAGCAATAAAAGCGTGACTATATTATTTTTCCAAATTACCTGTCAAAGCCATTTTTTCTTGTGTTGTCATTTCATCTTGTTGAATAGATCCACGCTGTGCCAATCGTTTCTCTGTTCGTTCATGTTGCATCTTTTTCTCATCAGCTTCTTTCTTCATTCGTTGTAATTCTATTTCTCTTTTCTTTCTCTCACTGTAAATATATTCTTCTTGTTGCTGCAATTCTTTTGCTGCCGCTTCTTTGGAGAGGATGGCGTCATTCTGCATGACTTTAAGATCGTTTACTTCTTGTTTTGTTTTCTTGATTTCAGCTTCAATTGCATCGAGTTTTGTTGGATAGTTCTGGGCCTCTTGTTCAAATCGGGATTTTATATCTAGATAGACTCGCTGTACTTGTTTGGCCTCTTCACATTTCATGGCAACTTTATCGTAACTATTTTCTAGGTAGCGCATCATCTGAGCTTCTTGTGATTCACCTTTGTCCATGGCTGCTGCATCGGCCGAATCCTAAAATAGAAAAAAAAATCAACAAATTGAAAAAATCGCTCCCCTAAAAAAGCTCTCCCAGTTTCGATAAGAAGAGTAATTTAGAAATTAAGGAGAGTGATCTGATATCAAGGAGAGTGATTAGTTGTGTGTATGGGAAATGGTTCTGAAGATCAATAACTGCATGTTAGGGGGTCATTCATGGATTCATAAATGATAATAAACCCCTCATGACTTTGTAAAGGAGATCGATTTTCAATTTTAAGGAAAGGGAGAAAAGCTCCCCTATGTCGACATTCATGTGAGTGGCAGACGCTTGAGAGCAATCACTTGCCTTAAAAAAAAATGACTGAGGGTACACGATTTGTGTACCAGTGGTAAAATGTTATTTTGTCTTAAATATTGGACAGGTAAGATCACAACATCAATGTTGATTTAAATTGACAAATATTTCATGTTTTCAATGTTGCAGACTTTGGAAGATATTGAGTTTAGAGACTTAGCAACTTTAAGCTTATCTGATACAATTTACAAACTGAAGATCTTTATTTGTTAAAAATATGTTTTATTAGACTTCAGAGAGACTTAGCTATCTTATGATAAATAATTGCGGAAGCTGTAGGACTTGGTTGTTTCTAGCTTTAACCAAGTGAGACTTGGTTGTTTCTAAAGCTTTAAACAACCAAGTCCCGGACTTGGTTTGTAGAAATATCCTCAATCTCAACGCCACCATTGTATTACAGGCCTTCATGTGAATAAACTCTGGGAGAGTCAAAAAAAGCTCTCCTGAAATTGGAAAAAGAGTAAATCATTCTGAGAAAGCTCTCCTGAATCTCTTGGGGAGAGCTTTTTTTAGCATTTGTGATAAGAACTGGGATTTTAATTCATTTTGAAACCAACCCTCCAGAATTAGGTCAAATGAGGTCCCGGTAGGAAATAGGGTAATTAGAAGCTCCATATAACCAGACTTCAACAAAAATATTTTTTGGTAATTTGTTATGGAGAATGTCATATTCTGAATAGGCTAAGATATGACTTGAAGTTCAGATCAGTAATATTCCTGAATAAATTACTGTCTTCGTTTATTCGATGGATAAACAGATGTCATCAGTCAATCATTTCGAATTGGTTTTTAACAGCGTATTCTGTCCCTCATACTGGTTCTAGCGAGGTAAGCAAGGTCTTATTTTCTCAGTAAAAAGTTGCCCAGTAAAATTGACTGGCCGTGGGAAGCGATTAGATTATCGACAAGGATTCAATAGGACAGTCCCTGAATGTACAGGGCGAGTGTAATGAGACCTACGTTCGGAGCTGAACTAAGCTATCCCCAGCTGTACTCTGTCCCTGCCTATGACTTGAAGTTCAGATCAGTAATATTCCTGAATAAATTACTGTCTTCGTTTATTCGATGGATAAACAGATGTCATCAGTCAATCATTTCGAACTGGTTTTTAACAGCGTATTCTGTCCCTCATACTGGTTCTAGCGAGGTAAGCAAGGTCTTATTTTCTCAGTAAAAAGTTGCCCAGTAAAATTGACTGGCCGTGGGAAGCGATTAGATTATCGACAAGGATTCAATAGGACAGTCCCTGAATGTACAGGGTGAGTGTAATGAGACCTACGTTCGGAGCTGAACTAAGCTATCCCCAGCTGTACATTATTTGATTATTAATTGATTTTTTCTAACCTGTTTCATCTGATTAATCTGTGTCTGGTATTCTTCTAATTTCTTCTGTTTTATAGCTGTTTGGTGACGTAATGAGTTCAGACGTTTTGAAGTGTCAGAAACTTTATGATCCAAAATAGTGATGGCTTGTTTTCCACTTTTGTTTGACAGGGCTGCTCTTTCAACTGGCCTGTCGTGAAACGCCTTACCAATAACATGTTCGTCTTGTTTTAGTTTGTCACTTAGACGCTTTCTTAATTCCCAAGTTTCTTTTCTCAAAGCTTGTACATTTTCTCGATTTTGTTTAATGGCGTACGAAGCAGACTCAAAATATGCTTTTCGATCACCCTCTAACAACGCTATTTTTGACTTCAGCTCTTCAATCTGTTCAGCCATTGGCCTCTGTGCTATTGCCGTGGTACCTGGCATCTTGAAATTCTCGTGTTTCTCCCAAGACTGTCAAAAAACTACGTGCAAACAACAGTTATTGTACCGAACAAAAATACAGCAATTTTGTTGGCAAACGTAACCATGGGCACACGTAATATGGCCGCTTTCCGGGAAGACAACCCCATTAATTACTATAGTTATCTCCCTTTACACGAGTAAACTTTTTCGCTGTTCACCTATTTCATCAGGACTCAGACTAGCAATTATTTGCCCATTGACTTCAATGTTAAATGACTGTAACATCACAGGCTGTAGCTTTTTGCTCAACATTCCGTTGGTTCCAATCTTTATAGGCACAATGGGGACAACATTTGGCAATCTCCTCATCATAATTTTGTAGGGGGTTGACCGTTTAGATTTTTTGCTACACGGATTTGAAGTTGACAGGGGTGAAAATCTCACTTCCGACACAATGATTGCTCTGCAGAAAGACACTTTACACCCCCTATCCCTCCGCTGTAATATCATCAGTATTACCCAAAACTGCTATGGAATTGCAAATTTGATCCCTTTTCTCCAATTCTAGACCAAAAAGTCAACCCAAATGCAGGAAGAGGGGAGAAAAAAATTAAGGGAAAAATTGTCTATTTATAACTCGCACTACTTCATGAAATAAGGGGAAATAATTACTAGTCTTAGTCCTATATACCTCACATGTTTCTGCAGTTTAAACAAATCTGTTGTTATCTAATAAACAAACATATATGCAATTCCCTGGCCAAGGAATATGAAAATCTATGCATTTTCAGATGAGCTGTGCGGCATTCTGCAAACACTATAATACATCAGAAAACTACGGAATTTCAGACAGAAATTTAAAAGCACATGAATTTTGAATTAAACAGAACATTTTTATTTTTGAACATAAATGCATTCTGTAAAAAGATGAGATAAATTCAATATAAATCAAACACGAAAATACTTTAAAACAGTAATCATGATGCAATATTAGACTTTTTAACACTTTCATCGAAAACCACACAGTTTTTCTCTGTTAACGTAGTTTCAAGTGCCAAATTGTGGTCAAATCTAAAATGTTGAAACATGCAGTGCCTATCAATTTTAAAATATCTCCTATATAGCTGTATTTCCATAGGATAAGTAAGTTGAAATAATCTGATTATGTAACACTACAACAGCTTTTTCATCCCTACCCCCCAGTTTGGAATCTGATAATTTAAAAGCACATGAATTTTGAATTCCACAGAACATTTTTATTTTTGAACATAAATGCATTCTTCAAAAAGATGAGATGAATTCAATATAAATCAAACACGAAAATACTTTAAAACAGTAATCATGATACAATATTAGACTTTTAACACTTTCATCGAAAACCACACAGTTTTTCTCTGTTAACATAGTTTCAAGTGCCAAATTGTGGTCAAATCTAAAATGTTGAAACATGCAGTGCCTATGAATTTCAAAATATCTCCTATATAGCTGTATTTCCACAGGATAAGTAAGTTGAAATAACCTGATTATGTAACACTACAACAGTTTTTTCATCCCCACCCCCCGGTATGGAATCTGATACATTGCTGACCAATCATAGGTCGCCCCGTTCACTCGGGCCTGTCAAATGATTTACAATGGCGATGGTGCCTACAACTTTCCTGACCAAGAGATATGCACAACCGTCGATCAACACACAAGCCATTAATGTTATCTTCCAATATGAGAGGCCATGATAAACACACAAGCGTCCTTTTCAAGCTCGGAAATTAAATCATCACCAAAAAGCAAAGTTTACAGAGGTCCTCGGGGCTGGAACCCAAACTGATTACGATTTGCCCTCCACTTCCACCACAGGTGTCATAGAGATCAGGGATGAAATTGATATGCATCATCGTTCTCCTAAAGCCAGTCCAGGAAGAGATCAGGTTTTGAGATGTAGACCTGAAATGTTAAATTTGGATGAGAATGAGAATTCTGGGGCGAATACTATCCAGGGAAATGGTCATTGACATCCAGAAAATGGTCAAAATGTGGAATTCTGTCATTCAGTTAAATGTCAAGGGGAGAAGACAGGCCTGTGCAGTACCAAATTTCCAGCCCATTACTATTAGTGAGCAGAAGTGGGGATGAGGTTGGATGTACTTCTTAAAGTGTATGAAATGCACATTTATCTCACCTGTTTTGCTTCTTTTTTTTTAATACTTATGTTGAGGTCAATCATTCCACTCTATGAAACATTGCCCTGGCACCTGAAATGATAGGAGGCTGGGGATAAATATGCAATTAAAAACAGTGAGAAAATAAGAAAAAAATATGGTTTCAACTGGAAATAGAAATAAACCTCTTTATTTCTCGCGAACAGCCCGTCACTGGCCCTCCAAAAAGAAACCAGTTAACAATCAGTAAAAAAGTAAACCTTGAGTGTCACATAAGTCTAAACCAATCTCAAAGGTAGATGCCATGTTTTGAGGTTCGCTTAAATATTAAGGCCAACTGCATGTTTGGTCAAAAGTCACACAGGTGTGAATTTTGGAGTGTACATGTTAACATTTCATTGTATGATGTCAAAAACATATTAGGTCTAAATGTTAAGGCCAACTGCAGACTTGGTTCAAGGTCACAACATGTAAATAGGGTTAGGGCACATGATTTTTTGACACAATTGTGGGTTTGGGCTAGGGTCAGAACTAGGTCTTGGCTTAGGCCTAGGCTACATGCTTTTTGACAAGATTGTGGGTTAGGGTTAGGGTAAGGACTGGGTCTTGGGTTGGGGTTAGGGTCAGTCTTGTTTACATCTCGTGACTTTAGACCAAATCTGGAGTTGAGTTGGCCTTAATATTTAGACCTAACCATGTTTTGATTTCATTGTGAACAAAATGTTACACATTTACAACCCATCCTGAAATAAGGGGAAATAATTACTAGTCTTAGTCCATCAGTTGCAGCACAGAGTTATTTTTACTCTGTGATTGCAGCACAGATCGTATCAATCTGTTTCACAGAGGATTACGAAAGTCTTCTAATATCTCTGTAAAAGATGACTACATTCAACACGTGACGTCTCATCACGCGGCGTCAATTATTATTAGGCTCAATTGCGCGTGCACTGTTTACATAAAACCTTACTGGTTCGGGCGGAATGGAGCCTTTTACTCGTTTTAATACCCATTTAAACTAATCAGGAAATAATTTTTACCAACAAATACGTCAAACGTTTTTATTTATTTTTCTAATACATAAAAAAAAAATGTTTTAGAATTTAATAAATAAAGACGTTTAAATTATTTGTAGGTAAAAATCATTTCCTATTTTTTAGTGTAAATGAAATGGGTAAAAATAAAAAGTAAAATTCACTATTTAGCCCGAATCAGTAACGTCTTGTGTAAACAATGCACGCGCTATTGAGCGTGATGTGACGTCACGTGTCGAAACAGTCACCTGTTACACCCGGCAAACCTCGGCAGATTCCGTTAGCCTACATCATAGAACTAAATACCATAGAAATATATAATAATTGTGATGTGCAGGCAGAATATGTCACTGCATTTTTTGCAGATTTGTAAAGTTAAAATAATATAGACCCACTAGGCTTCATTATGCCCTGTCTATTTCTAAAAACAGTCATAAGCTGTCAAAAAAAAAAGTCACAATATTCTGGCAGAATTCTCTGAGCATTTAAGGAAGATTTGTAAAATTAAAAAAATGCTAGGCCTTGTAATATAGACCTACATATTTCTAAAAAAAGGTGATCAACTGTCAAAAAAAAGTCATGATAAGCAGGCAGAAAATTTCATTGCATTTTGTGAAGATTTGCGAAATTAAAATAATATAGGCCTACTAGGGCTCATTTTTTATATAGGCCTACCTATTTCTAAAACAGTGATCAGCTGTCAAAAAAAAGTCAAAATATGCAGGCAGAATTCTCTTAGCATGTTATGAAGATTTGTAAAATTAAAATAATACTAGGCCTTGTAATATAGGCCTACATATTTCTAAAAAAAAAGGTGATCAGCTGTCAAAAAAAAGGTCATGATAAGCAGGCAGAAAATTTCACTCCATTTTTTGAAGATTTGCAAAATTAAAATAATATAGGCCTACTAGGCCTCATTTTTATATAGGCCTACCTATTTCTAAAACACTGTCAAAAAAAAGGTCAAAATATGCAGGTAGAAAATTTCATTGCATTTTGTGAAGATTTGCAAAATTAAAATAATATAGGCCTACTAGGCCTCATTTTTATATAGGCCTACCTATTTCTAAAACAGTGATCAGCTGTCAAAAAAAGTCAAAATCAGACTGAATTCTCTGAGCATGTTATGAAGATTTATAAAATTAAAATAAATTGACATTTACAGGGAGGAAAGCGTTTGCCCACTATCAAGGAGATTTGGATTTGGATTCAGATGTTTGTTGAGAAAATTGCCTGTTTTCCCTTTTTGTCAGTGGTGCATCAGGTAGCATTGCATATACTGTATTATGGAAGCATGAAGGAGTGCATTAAATATCAAAACTAAGTTTGGATTGGCACCAAGTACTGTGGATCAGAATGAAATATTTTTTTTTTTTATTAAAAGGAAATAATAAATTTGAAATATGAAAAGTTGTGGATTTAAACGTTTATAATATGTGTATTTGCAATATAATAGAGACCCACAAAATGTAAAGACATTACTATTCTGAACTGTGCTTATAGTGAAGTGACACTGTGTGAAGCTAATTCTTTTAGGATCTCGAAAATTTGCTCAAGAAAATATACCATAGTTGCATTCACATTGAACCTTAAATTTGTATAAATTTATGACAATTTCACACATTTGATCAGAGAGAAAAGTTACCAGATTTATGCATATTTTCATTCACCCTATTGTAAATTGTGATCCGTGTGTCAAAGTTACAATAAATGGTTTTATGTAATCATAGAGGAGGGAGTAGGTAAATTTTACAGTTTACTGAATACACCTGTACACAAAAGAGCTGCATATCTTATGAATTGAATAGAAATTGACTTTAAACACATTGAGGAGAATTCATAATTTCAATGAGTGGACAAGATAGACAGTCTCTATCCCTAGTACATTTTCAAAATATTCACAATAATCCAATGATTTCATTCATTATATTTATTAAAATTATTTCCAAAAAATAGAATGTGTAACTGAAAGTGTATAATGTACAGTCAGTTGATAGCTGAGTCTATTCCAATTTTTCACAAGAAATATATTTCAAAGTCTTTCAGGCACTCGCATAACAGCCTGCTTTTCATTCAGTGCAACAACTATTTTAAAGTTAGGATTTAGGGATGAATCAACACTCAGTGCGGGTGGTTATTTAGGAATTATATTTTATTGTCCTTCTTCCATGTTAGAAATTCCTTGTTCACATCAAATGAAAGTTCTTCATAAAATTAAATACAATGGCTTTTGTATTATTGGTCTGAAAAAAAAAAATACATATTAATTATTAGTAGTAGTGTGTTTGAACATAAAATAGAGTTTCTTCAGGGATTTCTGTGTCTACAAATTACAAATAAATTTTACAGTTGAATAAAGAGAAATGCAGTTTTAGTTATACTAATATAATTTATGCATAAATTAAAAAGGCAGTTGGCGTCAGACTTTACAGATGGGTTTATATTCAAATCGGACTCAATACCAAGAAAGTACGACCGATTTCAGGTAATGCCATAGGAATTGGCACAAGAAAAACTTTCTTCAATCAGCATTATTCACTTGATAGCTCTTTTAATTTTACTCAAACAAGGCCTTAATTTATATACAAATCCACTCCTTCAATGACACAAATCTGATATCCTTTTCTTCTTGATTATCATGTGTATTTTTTCACAAAGAAATAATATTCAAAAGGAAAATTCCATTTGTACATTTTTCTTTGAATTAGATCAAATAATTTAAATTTAAAAACAAAATACCAGTATTCATTATATTGTACTTTTATTTTATTAGTTCCCCAATATTGTAAAATTAGAAGTATGGTTGTGCTCACTGAAATATTACTAAATCAACTTTTTGAAATTCATTCACATTCCTGACAGGCCTATAAGTCTATAGTAAACAAAAGGGTTTGGTACGTAATTCCGTCCCCGACTTAAACCAGTCATTACATTATTATTTTGTAAATCGATTCATTTGTAACGTTTCCTTGAAGGGAAAACGACGTTTGGGGTATGGGGAGCTTGGTATCTCTGCCACCAGTGATCAATTCCTGGCTGATCACGAGCCACCGGTAAACGGAACTTCGGAAGGGTGTGTAAGGACCAGCTAAAAAGTGGTCAGTAACGGTGTTTTGCTAAAATTATAATGAGCTTCACCGTAGGAATAAAACAGACTCGTTCAGTTTTCAAACCTTTATGTAACAAAAAAAACTTTCAAAATATATTTATATCAGTATTTACAGCTTAAAAACGTTTATTTCTATTAATTACTGTCCTTTTTCGGGTGAACAGCGTTCACCGTACTCTGGAAGCGTCTTGACTTTTTCGGGCGAATAGCATTCGCCGTACTTGTTCTTGAATCTGTCAGTGTCTTTCCTTTTTCGGGCGAATAGCATTCGCCGTACTTGTCTTTTTCGGCAATCCTAGTTTGCCGTACTCGCTGAAAGAGAAAGAAGCTTAAAATGTTTATTTTGTCTTAAATATTGGATATCAAAAGCCCATCTTTTTCCGGTAAGATCACAACATCAATGTTGATTTAATTTGACAAATAAATCGTGTTTTCAATGTTGAAGATTTTGGATGATATTGAGTTAGAGACTTAGCTACTTTAATACAGTATCGTTACGCGTACGCATACATAACGATTCTCTTCAGTCACATTACAGCTATCGCCACAAAACGACCTACAATATTATTGATAATCTGCGCGCTGAGAAAAATTGAAATTTGTATAAGCGCGTGATAGAAGGGTCGTCACAAATTATAATATTTGTTTGACAACGCCATTTTAGTTTTACCTGAAGATTACCGTGGGATTAAACATAAAAGGTAAGTTAGTAATTTATAAATTTTGTAGTTTCTACAAATAAATTCATCTTTCAAACCACTACATAGATTTATAGGCTGTAGATAAGATCCTCGATAATATTATATATTTTATAAAGTATTAAACAAACGTGTTTTAACATAGTACTTTAGATAAGTGACAAAAATAGGCGAATTGTTGGATGTCTGTTAAAGAATCAAAGTTTGCACAAAATTATACATCTTGACATTTCAAGAGTTTTTCGCCATTATGTCAATAATCATCTATTCTCGACTAATGTTATTACTATTCGATGTCCAAACATAGACTTGTGTATACATATATAATGATACAATTATAATAGAAATTGTACAAACATATTTTTTTTCTAAAAAAGGGAAAAAATTTATTGCAGGATTTATTTGTAAAAATAAATTTAGCTATAGCTCAAAAGTATGACAGTACGATAACCCTATACCCTTACGACGTCGGGTTGCACTAACTTTTACTTTTAATAGTATTTTGTGTCAACATGCCATACGAATTGAAATTGTAATTGGCACAAAACCATAAATTATCCCATTAAAGGGGCATTAGGTAAGATTAGATAAAGAGCTAGCTTTTCTCGCTATATTAGTTAAGAAATAGAAAATGAAAACATATGCTCAAACTTTCAGTCAAATTTCTTCAATCCGGACCGAGATATTAAAGATTTAATTTTAGGATAGCTTTGATCGTCATTACTTTGTTTAAATTAAATATTTAAAAATCTGTATTTAAAATTGATACGACATAATTATTATATTTAGTGATGTAAGTGAAACCCTAACACATATATAATGTTCCAGTAGACGTTGCCAGTTTAATGGTTATTTCCCTTGCTCGTCTAAAGATATGAAGGGCATAGGCGTACGGGCTCGATGAATTTTAAGGGGGCAGAACCTGAAATCCCCGAAAAATTTCTGCGGAGCTTACCGTATAGTAGGACACATACTATAGTAGAGATTTAACGTCCACTCGACACAAACTAGGTCATTTCGGGACTAACACATGGTTCAACTTTATTTCAATAATTCGCTTGCGCTTAGGGTTCTTTAGCAGCAGGAGGAAATCGGAGGATCCGGAGAAAATCCAAGAGATTGGACAGGCGACTCTACTCCTTGTCACCATAGATATGTTATGTTGCGAAACGCGTGAAACGGCGAGAAAGGTGGTTGATCACTTCCGGTCTTCTGTTCTCGCTGTTTGTTTACTATAGGCCCAGTAGCGATATTTTTATTTAGCGCTTTCTTGTAGTATTAAATGTGGCATCATCTGGTTAAATGGTAACGAGAAATAGAAGCAATGTTCGAGGTAAGAATAAAAATGAATATCTTATAATTTTGATATTATATTGTATTATAAATAAGTATTACATTTCATGAAAATCTCGACACGTGTGTTGTCCAGTTAAGGCAAAGTTTGACAGCTTTGACCTACTTTTAAAAATCGGCAAAATAGAGTTTTCAATTCATTAATTTGTAAAATAATACTTGCAGATCATTAATAAATCGTAAATATATAAAATACAGTTTGGTATGAATAATAACATTGCTGTGTTGGCTATATATAAGCTTTTAATTACACAATTTTTTAAAAATCTTTTGTATTTTCAGCAGAACGTACTGGTACCCGTCTTTTGTTTGCTACCTAGGGGCCTAGGGGAGTGCCAGCTTGTGAAGCAAATATATTTCATGTTGATTTATTGTGATACTGATAAATAATTGTATGTTTTATTTATGTTATTTACTTCTTTTCATATTGTGTGTGTGCGTGTGTGGGTGGGGGGGGGGGGTGTATAAATATTGAGACACTAGACATTAATATATTGATAAAGTATTTTATTTTATGTATCTATTTATTTATATTTTTTTTTTTTATTTCATTTTTTTTGGGGGGGGGAGGGGGGATATTATTATTTTCATTATTTTATTTGTTTTATTTTAATACTCACCAAGGGATTTGGTTTAAATTGTTTGATTGTATTATATCATTATTGATTTTAATTTTGTATAGTTGAATTAAGCATAATTATTTAATTTTATGTATTTCAAACATCAGAAAATAAACCATTCAAGCTATGTGTTATGTGTTTGTATGGTTATGTTGATGGTTAAATAGGTTGAGAATTGAAGCCAAATGACCAATTTTCGCAAAAAAGGGATCTGCCAGTTGGTGTTACAGAATTCAGTCAATTTTGCTCCGATATTGATAAGGTTGGTTTTGTTACAATGCTGAGATGTATGGCTTTTCAGGAAATAACACGGTTCTGGAGAAAAATTAATATTTAAAAATAGCTGCCGGTCGATATTTAAGGATATTGGTTTACTGTTCCATGTAATTAAATTAATCATTAAAAATATAACCTACAATTTTTGTTACAATTAAATAAGTTAATCTTAACAATAATATTAGGCTACTGCATTTTTTGATTTAAATAATTTAATCTTATCAGTTGAGGAAGAAAGAGTTGGTATTTCAATCTAATAAGGTGCCTATAAATTATATAATTATTCATCCAATTATGTAACATTAACATTGTCTGATCGCTTTATTTAATAATACATTTATTAATTTATCATAAAAGTATTGTTAATTAAAGATGCGTTTTTAAATGTTAAACAGGCATGATGTAAGAGCTAAATCTGCTTATTGCAGGTCTTTCTTTGGGCCTTAATGTTATGTAAATTATCAATTAGACATTTATTAACATGAAAAAACCATAATCAACTCTCGATGCCATCTGATTGCTCAGATTTTAAATAGATTAGAACGGTATGGTGGTAAATTTTCAATATATTCAATTTGCATTATCTATTTTTGAAATGTTATAGTTAATAACGAGAACGACCAGCTCTTTATCTAAATCTTACATAATTCCCCTTCAAATTTATGTCTATTGTTATTGTTTTATTTTAATTTAGGACATAAAGAAATATATTTTGGTTCTCGCTTGGATGACGTGTTTTAATTTTTTTTTTTTTTAAAAAAAACCCTAACAAAACAGTCTTGTTAATTACCCCGGTTACACGAAGTAACTCTGTAAAAAAATTTGACTAGATCTATAGGCTAATTTGTCTAGTATGCAAACAAGTTAAATGTTAATGACATGAATGATATTGGATACCGTAATCATATATTCATATAAACAACATGATGAGATAAATGTAGTGCCTTACAATTTTTAAAAACTCATCTGTTACAAACAAGTGATAACTTAGAGCTAAAGACTTCGTGTAGGTATGTTTTGCCAAGCGCTATGAACACAATTTTTGCGGAATTTTTGCGCTATAGAAATGGACGTTCATTATATTTATTTATTTGGTTCTTCTGGAAAAATACATACATCTATTTAAACACCAAAAGTACTTGGCTGTACTGTTCAAAAGCTTATAGTTCCAAATTTTTAAACAAAACATCTTTCACATGATTTAATTAGCTATTTATTTTTATATCGAAGCCCGAAGAACAGAAAATCAAATTGGTGTGGCCAACATTGAAATATCAGATATCAAGGATGAAGTTGCCTTTATCAACTCTTGTAAATCTTTTAATGTACAGGATTCCTGGAAGAATCTATTTTAGAACAAAAATTCCTTTTCATTGATAACTAAAGCAATAATTCCTTTTTTATTTAATACTAATAGTGTTTTCTTTTTCCTTATATATAATTGTTATATCTACTGAAGCTAATTTAATTTCTCAACAAAGCCTAGATCAAAAAGACTATGAAATAATTGCTTACATTGGGGTGGATTTATATAAGTAAACTTTTTCCCAGTTGTGCAAGCTGAAAAAATAGTATGTGTGTATTTTTTTTATATTTTTTTTTTTTTGGGGGGGGGGGTCTGCATTTATAAAATTAACTAAATTAAATGACAGAGCGTCAGAGGGACATAAAATAAATAAATGGCCATTTTCTAAAATTATTAATTAGGCCTAGATTGGAAAAGAATTTTGTAGGGATATTTACATCTTTATCAACTAAAGTATACAAACAAAGCTGAATTTATTTTAAAAAATGCACATTTGAATATAAACAAGATTTTTAAAACTGTTCTAATATACCATGCAATTGATAATAAAATGCAACATCTAATTTTATTAATCATACTATAGATAGGCCTATACCGTAGGCCTGTGTGTGGCACAGAGGTGCGGGTTAGTTAGCTCGCAATATAACCTTTTTCCTTCTGCAAATTAAATTGTAGAACATTTTTATTTGAAGTATTAGAAAAATAAAAATAAAGGTGTTTGAAGTATTATCTCTATATCAAAAATATTTCCTAATTTTAGTGTAAATTGGTACGGTACATGATTCATAAATGAAGAAAGGCATTTTTTGCCCATTTGTAACCTTTTTTCAACTTAACGTCACACAGTAGCTATTTCATCTTTTGCAATACTCTAAAAATATTTTGGAAGGAGATATCTTGTTCTTTTTGTTCATATAATTTTTATATACGTGTTCATTTTATTAATTTCATAAACGTAAGTTTCAAAAATGTCAATTTCGCGTGTCACTGTGCGTACGTACCATAGATATCTATTGTACGTACTGTCGAAAGCTAGACCGGAAGTAAACACCCCCCCCCTGCGCAAAAAAATATGCGCACGAACCAGAACGCAACATCACGTAAAGGGCTAAAGACGAGTCGGCAATCATACGGTATTATCTTTGTTGTCACGTACAACTGGGGAGTCGAAACCAAGCCAGCTGACTCATTGACAACAGACCTTATGATACAGCGCTCACGTGCTAACCATTTGGCCATCAAACCCCCTTATACATAAAATATAGGCATAGACATGCGAGCTCGATGAATGTTTGAAAATTTAACTGCCGCAAACGCGTTTTCCTGCTATTCCAGCCCGTGAATACAGCAACTTCAATGTGGTCCAATATAGCTTAGGTGACAGCTGCATTTCATTTCATTTCATTTGCATTCACAAATAATAATCGATGCCCGAAAAATGTCGAACA